TATTTAACATATTTTGGAATGTCCAATGACTTATTTGTTCCAAAAAATTGTCCAATAAGTTATTTAACATGTTTTGGAATGTCCAAGAACTTATTTGTTCCAAAAAATTGTCCAAGGACTTAATCATTCCAAACACTAAAGTCCATTGAGTTTTTTTCAGACTTTTCCTTTTTTTAATTACAAAATTAAACTTTTTTTTAATTTTTTAATATAACACTATTTAATCTTGACCATTAATCAAGAAAATGGATGGTTGAAATTGATTTATAGGGTATTCACAAATAAAAATGATTTGAAATTGATCGCTTCCCATATATATATATATTTTATTGACCAAAAAGGCCAAAATATACTTTGCTTGGTCGAAAGGTTACTTTCTTTGAAGACTCCATCAGACTATGAGAATTTTCTAATTTCTAGAAACTTTTTTATCTCAAGTATTGATTTTCATAAATCATTTAATTTAGATAACCGTTATTTATTCCATCATTCATATACATCTAGTTTTCATATTTATATTTTATTTAAAATTAAAAATATTGTTGTTTTTTCAAAATTATATAAAATCGTATTATAACATTGATTGAGACAAAAAAAAAATGAAACATTACAATCAAGACGTATTTTGTTGTATTATACAAATACCCTTCTAATCTTGTTTTAAATAAATCATTGTTTTAATACAAAATCCATTTTTTTATTTTAAAATTTTTGTAACCGACCAAATCAATTAATTTTTTTAATCGTAATTGGCTGAGTTGATCGAGTATTTTCTACCAAAAATTTGGTTCAATTGACCGGTCATTTTCTTTTTCCATTTTTAGAATTCTTACAAACAAATAATAGTTAAATATGATTATATATATATAGAGAGAGTTTGCTTCAATGTAACTCATTGTATTTGTATAACCAATACAACCCAATAAATTGAAATATTTATTGAAATGATGAGGGTTCATTTATCATAATTTAAATATTTATGAAAGATGAATAAGGTTCATTAATTATGACGAATAATTTATATTAGGAAACAATCAAAACTTATATGAAATTACATATTCATCAAATTAAATGGACGGTTGAGATTAAGTTGTATTGATTGTACAAATGTAATGGGTTGTATAATAACTCAACTCTATATCTATACTATATTATAAAGCATTTGACAAAAAAACTATTAAAAACTATTTTTTATGCATGAAGTACTGTTTATTGATGCATATTACTTAAAATTCAAAATTACAAGTAAATTGTGTACAAATACAACTTATTAAAGCTCTATGTTTGAATTCGTGTAACTAACTGCGTATAAACATAATCAAATAGAGAATAAACATCTCATTTTAAAATCTAAAAAATCTAAAATATAATTAGAATATTATTGAGTTTTAACAGAATACTTAATTATTATCTTTATAAAAAAATATTATTAAACCTAAATTAAGTTACTTCGTTACCATGAATTAAATTATAATTAAAAATTTGAATTAAAAAAATACATAAATAAAAACTTTTAAATAGTTAATTTGATACTAATATTAATATTTTTTTTGCAAATTTTATGTGATATTTTCAAATTTAAAAAATCATATTATATCGACATAAATAAAAAATAAAATGTGTCTCTATGCATTGCACGAGTACCTTTCTAGTTAATAATAATAATAATAATAATAATAATAATAATAATAATAATATTGTTAACAAAAACAAGGTTTAGATAATTAGAGAATATTATCCCATAAACTTACTTAATTTGACAAGAGAAGAATATGGTTCTTGTTTCATATCCATATATATTTGAATCACTAAAGAAATTGATGATATCTTGGAAAGAATCAAATTATAATTAATATCTTCTTTTGCTTGGTATTTTTTTTATATTAAAATTTTAAGTTTGAATATTTTTTAATTAACCTAGATATCTAACCCGTTATGTGAGCTGACTAATCTTAGAATGATCACCTGTTTTACGGGTAGTCTGGAGGCACGACATTTGAACCTCCGTGACCATAAGGGGATTCTTATTTCTCCTTAGATTTGAACTTGGGACCTGCAGATACTTTTAACTTTTGGAGCCCAAGTTCAAACCAGTCAGGCACCACTATTATGGTTTAAGTTTGAATTTTGCGTATTAAATATTATTGGTATCTTAAAACACGAAAGAGAAATAATATTTTATTTTTCTACTATGCTTTTTAAAAACGTTATGAAGAAGAAAAATCAAATGATCGTCATGACCATCAAATCAAGTCCGTTACAAGAAAATCGAAACTCAGAATTTTGAAATCTAAACCGTCTTATTATTATATATTTAACATAAAATTTAGTTTTTTTTTTCAAGATTTGAATCAATTAGAATAAAACATAAAGAATGACCGTATAAATCATGGAACTGATAATGAAAGAAACTTTTTCTTTTTTAAAGTCCCAAGAAAAGCCATTAAACGGAATCCATTCTTTGTTATATCTAATTCGTTAACTAATGGGTCTTTTACCTAAATGCTTACCCGGTAAACGCTTATCGTTAGGAGTCAACACTATAATTTATTTTATTGTGTAACATTGTAGGACATCAAAATGGTATCATATACAACAATTAACCAAGTAAGCACTTACCCGGGTAAGAGTCGTCACCCTCACTTACCGAGTAAGACTCTCCATCTTTATCATTGCTCTTATCGGGTAAGATTTTTGACCGTTTATCATGTTCATCCGGTAAATACTTACCGGACAAAAGTTTAGTAAACGACCCCTAAGCTATACTGAAAAACCTCGTTTGTACTGTCACCCTGCCAGACAAAAACATGGACCACTTTGTTGCTTTGACTTATAAGTGATACTAGAAACTCCTTTTATCTTTTTTTTTATTAACCTGGATATCCAACCCGCTATGCGAGTCGATTAATCCCAGGACGACCACCTGTTTTGCATATAGCCCGGAATCGTCGCATTTGAACCTCGATGTCCACAAGAGGATTTTTACTTATATAACAATATATGTAGACATGTTTCTAGAAAAAATTTACACCAAAGTATCTATTAATACGAATGTAGGATCAGACGTGTCGAGTTTATGATATGGAATCGAGTAAAAAGCATATCGTATTGTTCTTGCGTATATAACATATAGCTCTTTATGCAAACTAAAGATTCCGATACAACTATTTTGTTTTTATTGGTCGTATTATGATAACCTGCCTAAACGAAGTGAGGTGAGTTTCAGTTAATAACTTGCAAGAAACATGTATATGACCATCCCATTTGATGCATAAAAGTTGGTTAATACAGTATGAAAGATAAACAGATAATGTCTCATGTATGTAGTTAAAAGATCAATTTATTCACTGTTTCTTTAGAAAAGGGAATCGTATCAACATGCTACTTTGGCATCGGGGTATTGGCATCAAGTCTGGTAGGACCGATATGCACACAAAAATGGACATCGCCAGATTTACTCTGTGATTCACAATACCCTTTTTAGAAGAAAAACAAACAACAAACATATGACTCATACATAAAATAAACCAAAATAATCTAATAGATTTCATATATGGAATCTAGAGGATATGATATATATAGATTTGGTCCCTACACAAAAGAGTAAAACAGTTGTTTATGAATTTTTGCCTTGTGAAAACTACGTGAAAGGGAGAAAACCAGCCTATAGAGTAGTCAAATAGTCCCTTTTCTGTTCCACCAATCACATGAACACATACAATTATTTCATTTACGGTAAATTTGTTTAATTTATATTTCCATTCTCTCTCTCCGATGATTCGGTTTTTTTACTGATTGTGGACAAATAGGAGACATGGGATTTGGGGACAGGAAATCTCTCTGATGATGTGGTTTTACTGATCATTGGACAAGATGAAGACATAAGATTTGGGTACAGAAGATTTAGAAAATACCTTAATTAATACCCTATCAACTAAAGTTGGCCAACATGGGTCCAGCCTGACCCGGGACCGGTTATGGACCGACGGTTCGGGATCAGTTATGTTTTTAAGGAAAATCCAAGGCCCGACCTAGATTGGAACCGGTTATACATAGGCTCGATTTTTTTAGAAAAGTCCGTTTTTATAAATCACGTATCAGTTTTTCAAGATGTCTATAAGATTTTCAAGTTTTTTTTTACCAAAAACTTCAAGTTTTGTTTTTGAAGTTAATCAAATTTTTTTCTGAGTGTTTCAATACTGAATTTCAAAAATCATAATTATAAAAACATGTATGATATTTTTGCGTAAAAACATTTAAAGTGTATTTGAATGATCTAATTAAAGATTTCAAAGTGTATTTCAATAAATATTATCCAAAAAAATACAAACATGATTTTTTATATGTTCAAAATTGATTTTTGGTCGGGACCGGGACCGATCATCATGGGATAACTATAAAAGGAAAATCTCGGCCCCAGACCGATTTGGGTCCGACCAGAACCCATTTTGGCCATCTCTAGTGGGTCCGGCCTGGCTCGGGACAGAGGGAGGACCGGGACCGGCCCGACGGTCATTAACAGTTACGATTTTTAGAAAATTCCACGGCCCGACCAAGACCGGTTATATATAGGGCCGATTTTTTAAAAAAAAGTTTTTATAAATTATATATCAAGTTGTTCAATATTTCTACAAGGTTTTTAAGTTTTTTAGTATGTTTCTTTTGACGTTTTTTAAGTTTTTTGTAAGTGTTTTAATATTAAATCTCAAAAAACATAATTATAAAATCATCTATACACTTTTGTATAAAAGAGATCTAAAAAGGTATTTTTAAAGCATCTCCCAAAAAGAAGAAAAGTTTCATACAATATCTTTTACGTTCAGAATAAATTTTGGGAGAAAAAGTTGGGACCGATTTGAGCCTAGCCCAGAACCGGTTACAAAGCATGGAAACCAGGACTTGGTATTTCGGTCAGGACGGAACCGATCTGGGCCCAGACAGACTCGGCCCGATTTTGACCATCTCTAGCCTCTACTATCAACCAAAGTAGATGAACATGATAACACACACATAACATGTATATATATATTAACATAGAAAGTGTTTTTCTTAGGGAGTGAAGTAAAGACTAGATTCTACAACCAACTTACAGATTAAAAGTAGTAAAGAAGATGAATGAAAGAATCAACACTATCATTATCTCTAAGCCTTCTACTACTGGCATCAAATTATACATCTTTTGTTTTTAAAAACTTACAAAAATGTTTCCAAAAAAAGAAACCTTCAAAACTGTCCAAAAAGGTAGATAATAATCCTCTTTTTTGTGTACAACTTCTAAGACTGACTGGCTCGGGGTGATTTCGTCTTTTGTCTCATGCTAGCTCGTCGAATCACATCCCACGGCTTCTGAGGTGTCGTTACTCCTTGCTGTGTAGCGAAAAACGACTCGTACCCGGGTGAGTCAAACGCGAAACCAGTGTGCTTTGACCTTTCCCTCGGGAGTAGGGCAAAGGCGTACCTCCGTTCCTCTTCTGGGGTCAGTTGGTTTCCGACTGCTAGCAATCCGGCACCAATGGCTTCTGGCTCGTGCCTATGGATTTCCTGAACAATCTGGTAATCGCGCGGGTAGAACCATCTTTGAACCCTGAAATCACACAAGGAATCATTCAAGCATGTGCTTAGTGGCCCACTAAGCTCAAACAAGAACCATAAATATTTTGAGAAGCTGGACACCAACTATTTCATGTATTATTTATAATGAATAAAATCCTGAATAATCCTGTATTTTATTCATCATGAATATCATGCATTTTCATGATGAATATCATATATTTTCATCATGAATATCTATCACCGCATTCATGATATTCATGATGAACAAAATACAGGATTTTATTCATTATGAATAAAGCATGAATAGTTGGTTCCTAGGTTCTCAAAAAATTTACGGTTCTAATTTGAACCTGCCCTAGAGATAAGTGATCATATCGTTCATTAGAAAGCATTTTCAAAGACCAAATAAGGAGTCTATCACAGTAACCGAGTGGCAACAAGTTTTTATATAACTGATAAGGCCTTCAGGTGCTACAAATATGCATGGGACCAGTGGTTGCTGATCGTATCACTCATTTAACGATATTTTCAAGACCAAAATAGGAATCAATCTCCGGAACTCAGGCAATGAGTGTTAAAGATACTGAACTATATGTAATTTTGTTGAAAAGAAAAGCTCACCCTTGGTACAAAAAGTCACACAAAAGCGCAACAATGGGAACAAGAACGATCATAAGATAGAAGTAGGCGGTGCCCATTAACACATAAATGGTGTAATAAGTCCCCTGAAGTTAAACATGAAAAATATCAAGCGTTAGTAATATGATTTACGACAATTCATTGATATTACTGGCATTAGGTAAAAAAAAACACCCACAATCGACTTTTCAACTAAAATTGGTCCTAATTTTATGGTTTAAAGAAGTCCTACAACCCAAATAACTACCTGACGAAAGATGCAACTTTTGACCGGTCACATAGGAAAAACGTTAATTATTTGGGCATAAAAAGTTGATTACCGTCAACCCCAGCCAGCCTCACACGGAACCCGTCTCCAAGGACACCAATGTGAAGGGGAATTTTTTGGCTCACTCAGCGGCTGAGGGTAGCCCTCCCGGGGGGGATATTTGTTTTTGGGCAAAGTCGCCCGCCCCTTTGCCACATATAGATTCATTGGAAAGATGCAATTATTTCATTTTTGGGACGTCATGTAAAAGGTGCAACATTTTACATTTGGATTCATTCCAAATTGAAGTTAACTATTTACCCATTACATCATTACAAATAAACTGATATTACTGATTCGGGTCCCGAAGTTCCTTTTATTCATCTTATTGAAGGGTATATTAGATATTTGACAAACATATCAAACACTGCAATTTTCATGGGACGTATAAAGTATTACGGAGAAATTTCATTCCCAATAATATGTATTTATAACAATTTTGAACCTTCTATTCCTACATTTGGATTTCTAGAAACGTGTACTGTTTTTCCTCTTGACTTGACTAGTTAGCTATAGCATAACGATCATTAACAAAGTATAGAACTTCAAAAGATGCGTACCTTGTTTACGAAAACAACGGCATATATAAAAATGAATATAAACCATGCTAGAATGCTGCCTCCAACACTTATACTGTGCCACCTTGTAACTGTATTGCACATCATAAGAAGCCGCAAATTGACGGTAATCACAAGACATGTAAATGCAGCGGTGCTAATATCCCACAGGCCCAACATCCTTCCAGCTGAGGTTAAACCAGTCGTACTAGAAGCGACCGCAAAGTTATATACGATTATCGATTGATAAACTGAAAAGCAAGCTAAAGTACCCACAACTTTCCAATTGAAGTAGGCATTATCTATTCCCTCTTTGTATAATTGTGGGTACTTCTTTGAAAGTGATGCACTGACGTCCTGCCAAAAAGTTATTTGCATCAGCTCCCTTGTAATTGAGTTTGTTGCAGATACGTACATGATTATCAGAAAATAGACTGGATAATGCTAATTCAGAAATACAGGAAGTAGACATCGAGAATTAAGGTCAAATCTACAACTTTTGGAGTTAAAACAATTATATGAATTCTGTCTAAAGTTTAACACAAACAGACGTATAATTGGAGGTTCATAATGAAGTTAGATGGAGTTATGAATTTGTCATAAGAAAATGCAAAGCATCCATATCAATTTTGAAGTTGGAACATAGGCCCTTAGAGTTAGGTATACGAGAATAGTAACCAAATAAGGGAATAAGAAAATGGTCGAATCACATGTGATTTTACACTAAAATCACGTGTAAAATCACATGCGATTCATGCGACTTTGGCCGGGTCACCTCACCCGCACACCTTCACGTTGACAGTTAATGTAAAATCACATGTGATTTTGCAAGTGATTTGACCGTTTCCGTGTTCTTTTATTTAGTTACATATCTTGTTTGAACCTTCCTCTAGGCCACCATGCCTCATCTTTGGAACAGGGAATATAATTTTACATAAAAGCTACACCCTTCGTCCAAAAAATCGTCCACAATGAAAAATGCACAATGTTATAGAAATGTGTAATTATTACACTTTAATGAACCAAATGACAATTTTACCCTTAATAATAGAAAGGAATAAGTTCCACCATCTCATATCTAAGGGTAGGATTGGAAAGTAGGCACTTTGTTTTGAAAGTAGACACTAATTTTGGGACAAACTAAATCAGAAATACGAACCCATATTCTGGGACGGAGGGAGTATTTTTCTAGCGACACTTATCGTGATAGTATTAGGGTATCATAGTTCAACTTGAGAAGGAGAGAGATAACTACCTTGTCAAGCAGTCCAACAATGATAACAGGCAGGGCAGTGAAAATGACATTATACAGAGACTGGAACCAATCATCATAGAACCTTTGACCAGAGTACCCAGTGTGGAAGGTGTACCAAAATTGAGTCAAAGTGAATGTAAGATTCTTGTAAAAGAAGTATGAAACAACCTGCAAGAGACAAGCTTTTGAAGGAAAAGAGGACAGATATAGACTAAAAGTTCAGGGCAGAAGAAAGTAGAGATGAACCTTGCATAATCTAAGATAGGACCATCGTCCATGGACAAGAAGTAGATCTGTTAGAAATCGGAACTGAGCGATAGCAAAATCGCTGGCCATCACTGCTTGCATCCCCTCCAAACCACTTATTCCGACACCAACATGAGCTGCTTGAATCATGCCAACATCATTGGCACCATCACCAATACTTAGCGTTATCTTATTTGCACCTTTTCTGACCAGTCTTGTAACCTGTAATTATCAACAAAATGATTTCTCATCTAGATTGTGGGCAAGTCCTCAGAAAAAGTTGACATATGCTACAAATTTATCGTAATGTATGCATCGTAATATGAAGTTGATTTATACTGATAAAGAGATGAGAAATGTACAGTTTCACATTAATTTAAATACCTAGAAATGTATTATAAGTTTCAAGGAATTTGTTTAATACAGACAATCATCCATAAATCTTAAAAGAGTACACCAAGAGCATCTCCAATGCAAGGTTCTTATAAGCAAAAAGTGTAGTTTCTTACAAGAACCAACATTGTAGAGAATTCTTATAAGAACCTCACCCTCTTTGAGTTCTTGTACAAGAACCTTGGTTCTTACCTTGAAGTTGGTGTGAAGTGACAATTTACTAGATTTTTATATATTTTCTTGACTTTTATATCCAATATAATAATTAACATGTATATATTTATTTAACTTATATTATACACAGGACCCACAAAATGGGTTCTTATAAGAACCACCATTGTGGAGTTTTATGTAGGTTAATAACTTGGTAAGTTGAAACTGACTTGACAAGAAAGAGTACAAAAAGTGGGTTCTTAAAGAACCTCAATTGGAGATGCTCTAAGGTTCTGCAAGAGTTTTGGCCAGCAGTTAACTGATAAGTCAAGCCATAAAGCCACAAAGCACTAATAGTTAAATGTCAAAAACTTGAACCATTCATCCAGCAGATAAGGTAATGGTTGGCGCACATGTGACAGAATGTAATTGTCATGTTAAGCAATCCAAAACTTAAAAAAAAATACATACCCTTTACAAGAAAGATCATCAGAAATAGCCCTCCATATGTGACTACTTTATATAGCACTCTACACTCAACATTTTCATCTTCCTAACTTATCCCTTCATATTGTGAATTGAGAGAAGCACAACAAAAGCATAAACTCTAGTAACTTCATGTCTTTATGAAAAAAATCAAACACATTAATTAATACACTTCAAAAACAGAAGGTAGAGAATGCTGGTGCAAGAATTTATTTCTAGCAAAGCTGTCAGGCTACTAACATTGAGAATACATAGGAGTTGCTTGTCTCTACTGAAAAGGTATCTTTCTCATCCTATTAGAGGTGGTTTCAAATCATGAAAGCTCAAGCATGTGTTGAAAATTTTCCATCTAATCAGCAAAGCATATGTCTCATGTTAACGTACACCACATTCAGTGGCCAGTCCTCTGGTTTAACAAATTTATGACACAACTAATCCAACAATTGAAGGGTTGACAAAAGCTGAGCTATCGGTTTCAATTTTACACAATCGGAATCGGGTTGATGTGATGTACTTTGCAGAGAAAAGAAGATTTGGTCAAGATTTTGTCAACTACGTAATATTCATATTAACAAGTCATGTATGCAGTGACGAACGTGATTACAACTGAGATTTAAATGCAACAGGAAGTATCAACATAACAAACTATCTCAGAGCAATTTTTACCTTTTAGTTAGAAAAAATCTCAATATGAACATAGACAATCACATCATTAGAAACATTACCTGTGCCTTCTGTAAAGGAGAAACACGGCAGCAGACTACTGAACTGCAGCTTAAGCTCAAACTAAGCAATGTAGACCGTAAACTTGGGTCTAAGGCATACATCAAACACTTCCCATCTATAAGAAGGGACAGTTTCTGTCCAGATGAGCCATGAATGATACTTTGTGCTTCTTCATGGTACTTGTGAAGGTCATTTTTCACTGTTTCTCTTATGAACTGAGCAATTTCCACTTGGTCACCCTGGAAGAAGAGTTTGACTTGAGATTGAATTGTCTGAATAATACCAATGAATAGGACGCTAGCTAAAAAATTGCTTACTCTGTTTTCAACATCCCTGATCTCATCAGTTTCGGAACTGATAACAAACTGTTTCATGTCATTGTTAATTAATTTGCAAGCTGGGACAATTAAAAGATAAGTGAATAATTTATTAATGATATAGCATATATGAATCAAAACATAATCAATTAGGAATAAAGAACACTATACCGTAAGCAATATTTATTGCAGTTTCCAATTTGTCCCCTGTAAGCACCCAGATCTTAATTCCAGCTCTAGAAAGAGTTTCTATGCAGGATGGTACCCCTTCCTGAAGCTTGTCTTCTATAGCAGTACATCCGATCAAGGTAAGATCCTTCTCTATCAGTTCTGCCACCTGTAGAAAGTTTCATATGCTTCAGACATAGAAATACAGACATACAGATCTCCATATATGTACGCAGAGACAAAGAGAAAACCCAGAGATACAGGTATAAAATTGGCATCCCTATCTGAACTTCACAATGCACTTCCTAGGGCTTGTTGGTTAGCAGCTTAATGAGCTTAATGGAACTCGCAGCTTATTCGATCAGCTATACATGACTTTGCTAATGTCTTAATGATTTAGGAAGTGGCTTATTCAGTGCTCTATAGGGGAGCTTTATGCAGAAAGCCAAGTTTTTCCAAACCTGCTCATTGCAATTAAAAACACACTCATTCCATCTATGAAAAAGCCCTCCTAAACAAAAGCCTTCCCAATCTATACAGACAGATTAATCTACACAAACAGCTTCATCCATACGGGACTTAATGGAAAACCAACCAAACAGCCCCCTAGTTCTCTTTAAAGAATGTTCAAGGTGTTTAGAAGAGAAAAACAAAAAGGGACGAGGCCAAAAGATATTACTGTAGCAGCATTTCATGTTATTTAACATTTTCCTGGATATGTCATAAAATTAGGCCTACTTAAGATGTGAAAAAGGATGCGGGTAAGTATCTTTTTCAACGCCAATTACCTCATCCAATTTTCTTTCACGATCTCGAAGAGAAGACTTAGCCTGGATAAATTTCTCATTCCAACTTTCATATATTTCTGGGCTTAAATCTCTGTAGGCCAGGCAAAGAGTTCGCAAACCAGCTTCTCCATATTGCTCTAATTGCTCCCTGCTAATTTTCTTTAATTCCTCGCTTCCACTAGCCAATCTCTCATAAATTACGGTATCAGCTCCCTGTGAAGGGAAGATTCTGCATTAGAGTCGGTTCACAACTTAATAGAAGTTCCATTTACAAGATAGGTTTACTGGAGGTATTACCTTGCAGTATAATACAAGCCTTCCATCTCCATAACGGCATACAACAGATTGACGTTTCCTTGTACTATAAAAATCCAAATAAATTTTGGTAAAACTATATTTAAGCATTGATATAAAGTTTTATTAGCAGAAAAATATAGATGTTAAAAACAAGTGGCAGCAAAAAGGCCTTACCTGTTGAACTCAAGGATGTTCAAAATTTCATATGCAGCATCTTGAACTTTCCCCATTTTCTCAACATGCGATTCACGAACATATATCATTGTAGGTGTACGCCTGCAGAAATTGACCTCACTATATCAGCATGACAGAAAACAAAATAAAAGAACTGTATCCCATACACACCTTAACAAGATTATGCTCTATGTTTGCAGTTTATAAACAAGTACGACCACACATATAGATCAGTAGTATGGCAGCACACGGCAGACAGAAGAAACAATATTAAAATCTGTTAACATAGGCAACCAACCATATAGGGGAAAGACTTGGACAAACCGATAAGGTGACCCAGAGGTCATCGATCAAGTCAAGGAGACAACCTCTTTGCGGAATGCAAGAGAATCGTTAGTGTGAAAATACTTCCCCCAACTCTTGCAAAGTCGAGTTTTTGTGCACAAGGGCAACCCTTTAATGAGGCCAAACATATATACCTGTAGAAGAAGAAGCCAAAGTTCTTCGCTGCAGTAACTAAGGCAGCCTCATCTGGAGATGCAGCTTGATAACGAAGTTTTTCCGGGGACTCTTCACCTTCAGGGAGTACGGTATGACATATAGCAAGGCATCTGAAAAATTCCTAAATAAAGAAGGAACACAAACTTTCAACAAACGACCACGTAAGGATTCAGCATGTTTGTAAATGACGAGATCAACCTGTCCCACAGGGGAAATCCATACATGCAAAAACTGTGTTGGATGCTACTTGGTTTTCATGACCACCAGTTGCTAGAATAAAGTGGGCATACATACAGCACATATAAGCAAAATGTGACCATGGAGCAATCATAGATATAGACTTATAGATGGGTGAATGTATAAAGTACATGTGGCATCTGGATTTTATTTTGAACCCAGATCAGAAGCACATTCACTTTAAGCATCAACTATCCTGATACAGAAAATGTTAGCTTTCAGCCATGTGTTGGCTTCCTCCAGAGCTGAAGCAGAGAGCTCTGCTCTTGAAGTAAAGTTGTTCATAATAAACCTCACTTTTTTATTTTATGGGTAACTATCTAACAAGTTCTTGAGCATGAAAGAATTTTTGCAGTTTAGATAGGATATTTAGCTATTTGCAGATAATAATAAGAAAAAAAAAATAACCTGTAGAAATTTTTTGTTATTCAAAATATTGATTCCTCAATAGTCAGGACCCATGTAATCTGTACAAGCCAATAAAAATTTTCTGGAGGAGTACATTAGAAGATCATTCACATGATCTTATAAGAGAAATATGAAAATTTGAACCCAAAACTTGGCTTGTATAGAGATGTAGTGGGTAACTTCATCATGCATAGCCAAGGTTTATTGACAGAAGGGGATATTACAGTGTACTAAATACAGCCATAAATAAGGACAGCTGGTCACATGCAATCATAACAAATAAAACTGATGCACGTAATTAATTTAAGTTCCTTATAAAAAAAGAATATTTCTGGTTCTAGAAATTACTCATACCATTAGAAGTTGAAAACTTACCATATGAGAAAATGATCAAAGAAAACCAATTACTAAATCAATGATGAGGTATGAACTAAATATAGAACTCCTTTGGTGCCCTAACAAGAATTTAGATCATTCACACGATCTCATAAGAGAAATATGTTGCCACCATAGCAGAAGTCATGCAATATTCAAGACATTGAAATCTTGTCGCATCTAATTAGAAATCCAATTTTTTGCAGAGCAATACAAGATACAGAGTAATGCCAGCTTAACGCTATTGACTTTGATGTACTGGTAAGAATTAATTTTGTAAGAGAAAATCCACCTTATGTTGATAACAGATAAAATAATTTAAATACTACACTTTGCTTATAGAAGTAAACTACCTTGCACATTTCCGGATTAGGTTCATTCCTCCAAGCACCATGCATCAGCCTGGCATCATCAAAATTGAAACCCTTTTCACGTACTGCATGAGATGGTTTCTGCACCTGAAAAGTTTATGACAACATAATTCATAGTTGGCAGATCAAGTTGCATCCTTCCAAGTTATGACAGATGATCATACCTCCTTAACATCTACGCCATTCCTCTTCGCTGCTCCGATTTCTATTTCGGTAACACCAGTTCCATATGTCTCTCCACTAATTGAACATTTAAAGAACTCCATCAAGTTTCTGGTCAGAGTTCCAGTTTTATCAGAAAAAATATACTCCACCTGTCACAAAAGAGCAGCTCGCTGTTTCAGTGCTATAATAAACTTTAATGAACTGCAGCTGTAGTTCCATAAATAGGATTAGGAAATTAGATTGGACCTTGAGCTGACCAGACAATGTTCATGAGGCAGTGTGCATTGTAATGAAGGATTATGCTAAAGTTCAATAATATACATATAGGGCCTACAGTATAAACCCCAACCCTAAATTCTCAAATGACATCCAAGCAGTGGTCCATCTACATGTAGTGGCCCTCAAGGTGCAATGTGTTGGACTGATGCACCTTCTAGAACGATGGTTCCAGGTTTCTATTCTGGCATGTTGAGGCAATTGGAATTTATGCGAGAGTTCTAAAATCTCATCTTACATTTGGTGTGATTGTGAATAGTGAGCTCCTAATAAACCCTTGGTGTTGGCTTATTAAATGGCATTCCACCATACATTTTAGGTAATCTTATAATTATCTGTGTGCTTTGGCCAATATAAATGATATTTAGATATCAATAGGAAATACAATGTATGTGACAAATATATATATCATCTTGGATCATTCATAGCGAACTGGGTTTGAGTTGGAACACAAAAGATATAAAATGGTGCTAAATCTCTAGGTTATAACGGCAGAAGTTGCCCATCAGCAGCGATTCTACTTCTAATTATGTTCTGTTTGTTTGTTTGGTTTCTCAACCGCCATTGAAAACTCACAAGTCGTGACCTCCTGTGTTTGGATCAACCGCTAACACTCGTGTCTCCTGCAGCACCTCCCATGCTTCAACCTTGCAAGATGTCCCATCCCCTGAGGATATGATCTAACATCCAAACACTTATTAGTGTTCACATCAATCTACAACTATCTCCACCATTGTGGGAGCCTCCTGACCTTCATCGCCACATGTTGAACCACGAGAAGACCTCCACAACTAACAAATAACCTACCCAACTCAGCCTCGTTTTAAAAAATCCTAAATTTAGGGCCTATTTGCAAATCCAGAATTCCAGGAACCATCTGCAAGTCAAACCTGATTGGACTACTCTCTTCACCAGGTTATTCTTCTCGTTCCAGACCAGCACCGCTTCTTATCCTGATCAGTTTCTCCCATTTTAATCAGAAACCATGCCTAAATAAAACGTAAAGGCATCAAGCTCCACTGCGCACATCTATTCATGCGCTGACACCTCTGAAATCTAACTGCCCAGGTAAGAATATCCAGTCCTGATTTTGCATGGACTCCTACGGGTCATGGCATGCCTAACTAAGCATATCCAAGCCTGATCTGTGCCAATAACATGCGCTTTTTTGCAGCTTTGATTGAGTTTCAAAATGCTTCTCCCAATGAAGATGTGGAATATAGAATATGTTGAGATTTACATGAAAAATGTTCACTGTAAGAAGAAGGGAGAGAGGGAGAAGGAGACATTAAGACTAGTGAGGATGAGGTATCAAGAAGATCCAGATAAGAGGAGCTATCAATAGCATGCTTTACATGATGTGTTCTCTGTCATTATTCTTCAAAAAAATTCTGTTTTACTTGTCAGATTAACATGATTTATATCTGTCATCCAACTTGAAGAGTGTTAGCAGATAGATTCATAAATTAGATTAAATTGACTGACTTTTGATTGTTAGCATCAGTCCATAAGTGGATTATATATTCAAGTTAATTTCAGTAATCTAAATAACTACTGAATACCGTCTCAAAACCCTAACCATGCCTCACTAACAAAGTAACAAATACAATCTCACCTGATGCATTACCTTAAAACACTTTGATAGAGAATATGACTAAGAACTCATTACCTGTCCAAGTTCCTCATTTAGATTTGATGTGCGTGCTAACGCAGGGGTATTGGTTTCACTATGGTACATGCGCAAGTCATTGTTTATGAACTTAGTTGACTGAATGAATTTGATCATCTGAAAATTAGAAAAGAATAAAACTAATTAGAACATGTCATTTAGACATCACATATATGCTGCAAAACTAGCTTACAAAATTCATGAACCTACCTCGATAGAAACATAAAGAGAAATTGGAATAATTGGTGAATACAGAGTAATAAGGGTAAAGATGCTTAGAACAAAGACCTGTAAGCAAAATACCAAAATCAATAATGGTAAAACACAGAGAAAACATCAGAACCAGAAAAAATTCCTCACACATCAGCAAGCAAAACAATACCACAAATCTGTTGTTTGGATTGAACTGTTGAGAGTCCCCATTAATCCAGAGTTCCAAGTAGTGGTACTTGTTACTTACAAATACAGCACTGCAATGTTTTACGGACAAGGCTATTACAGCATGATGAAAGGTACCAAAGAAGCGATAGCAACAAAACATGAAAAATATGCTACCTAGTCACTTACCTGCCTATGGCCCCAATCAAACACATGGAGAGAAGAACACCAAAAAGTGTAGCTATTACTTTGTCAAGTTTCCTCTCTAGCGTACTCCTTTTGGAAGGAACGTTCATGGCATTCATCATTACCTGTCATTGGATGGGTAAAACGATAAATTGTAATACAATTCTAGATGTATTTTGAACAAAAAGAAGAGGGCGGCAAACAGAAAAGTACAGAGAACAAATTAAAAAAGCTGTATGAGGTTCAAGAGAGATGCTAGAGATTCCTGATGCTAACTATCAACCAGTACAAAAGAAACCCTCAGATAAAAATCAGATTCATGCCAATGATTGAAGACGGCATCAGGGCCACGTTGAAACCCCAATAGTATGATGCAAACCATGACATTTTCCCCATGATGTTGTTGAGAATATACAATAAGTGAAGGTGTGAAAGAGGGATAATAATAGAAATTGAGCCAGCCAAAAATTCAAAAACCTTAGTCTCGTGTCCAGTAAATATCACAGTCCCAACAATGTACTCTGTATTACGTAGACTGCATCCCTGAAATACATGTAGAGCAATATTAGATTAACTAAACCAATGATAGGATAATTACAAACTAATCATACAAAATATTTAGCCCATAAATGCATAGCAAAAAGCAGCATTTTATTGTTCAAAACAAAATCTAGGTCCTTCATTCTCGAGAGAGTGAATGAACAAGACTGCCTCTCCATGTGATTCATATAGATTCCCAAAAAAATAAAGAAGATTCACATGGAACAAGGGCAGTCACATATTTTATGTTTTCCATCTGTGTGTGATAACAACTATTTAATGTGTATAGATTCACAAAGCTGTGGAAGATTGTGATACTTGAGAACTAGATGAATTTCTTAAAGCAATAGAGACAAATAAAAATAAATGGAAAATAAATAGCTCGAGACATCATGGGGAACATGTGAGGGAGATGTAATTTGAACCACAACGGGGGGAAGGGAAAGAATCCTTAAACGGAGCTATATAATAGACAAGAAAGATGACTATCATATCTTACTCGCAACAGAATATGATTTGGACCAAGGGGCAAAGTCTGCTTTTGAAGTATCAAATTTCCAGTAAAGGTATAGAGTGAATTGTTTGGTTGTTCACAGTGTATTTCACCTGCATCAATAGAAACATCGGCATCATAAAACAAATGAAATTCACTATTTAAAGTTTTGTGCATCAAAATAAAATGTAGAACTTATCATCAGTTATTGTTACGTTAGTAATAGTTCAATATTCAAGACATAAATTTTTTGGCCATGCAACTGCTGACCAGGGCAGGCAGGTTGTTGCTTGCCATGGGTGCTCCAAGGCAGTGAAGATGGCAGCTGTTGTAAGGCAACATTTATGAGGACTAGTTACATCAATGCATTATTAACCTAAGACGTTAAGACGGATGGATCAAAGTGTATACATATTCCATGTTAGTAATACAAAGATTTAAACCTTTAAATTCTGAGGCTTTCTCAGGAGTCACATAATCCCATGTCTTCTCCAAAGCTTTCCGGATTTTAAGATTTGTTTCACCATCCAGATTTGCAGTCTGGTAAATGAAGAAGAAAGATATTAAAATATAGTAAAAAGCTAACAAAGTATGGTCTCATGATATAAGTAGAAATGCAGAGCTTATGTAACAAAGAAGATAGACAAACACAAACATAATACGTCCATAATTTAAAGAAAGAAAAGAAGTGTCGGACAAGCCTCTCCAGCTCAAGTCAAACTTTCTGCAAATACTTGGAATCAATAGAATGGATCTACTAAGCCTTCTTCAGTATAGACCTGAGTTTGCAAAAGATTCTCAGTAGCTGACGTTACCGTTCTCTCTGCTACAGGTATCATCTGTTTTGCTCTTAACATAACAAGTCAAAACATCTTAATCAATCTTCTTAGTGCTTGTTTTCCTACAGCTGGTATTTTTACCACGTGCGAAAAAATTATTACCTACCTAGTTGTGTTATATAATATTCTTTTTTTGTAAACAACTATAGATATGGTGGTTAGTTTCTTCTACATCTTACATGACCCCTCTTCTCTATTCTATCACATCAGGAACGGAGATCAGCCAAATCTACAAAGAGGTCTGCTGGATATTCGTTTTTTAATTCACTCACTACAAATAATTCAATTCACCTCCACCAGAGAAAAAAGCATTTAGTTTAATTTTCTCCTATCGAGTCTTCAAAGGAGCTCTTGCCCATTAATTTCCTTGTTCCTACTCAATCAGATCAGACTCTATCTCGAAGGTCTATTATAGGACTGAAGGATATATCTAAAAAGAAAGATGCTGCTCAAAGCTAAAAATCTGACAAACAAGCAATTTTGCTATGCATAATTGGGTTCATTAGGATATAAATGCATATGTGGTTTCAAAACCTCCCTCGGGAATAACTCAAGCATGTTGAACATACTAAGTACTAAAGTTGAAATCAAGAGACCTCAGTATAGCAAACACCGTCAGGGTTTGTACTTGCAAGGAGTAGCAAATCAGCTGGAAAGAACCCATCCTGCCTCACCTGCAACAAGATGAACATTCAGATTTGCACCAACTTCACAAACGAATGTAAATTAAACCATTACCGGTGATCAAGAATAAGCAAGTAGGTTATGTTGTTCAAGATTTCTTCTTTTTGTGCTTAGTCTCAAGATACATGTTAGACCATGAATTTCATCCCAGTTCACTTTCCACCAGCAAAAGGATCTTTCTATTAGTTTGTGTACATAGAAATCTGCATGTGAACTAGTCACTATGGACATTCACATGCCCCACAAACACAGCCTTTTGGGTCGTTATCTACTGGAATCAAACTAGCAATTCTTCTATCTTTGGCATTCATACTCACTTTGTTACCAATCCTCCCTTTAAATTAAACAAGTCGTAGACACGATTTTTTGGGGATGATAGAGTAGAATTTTAACTGAATGCCAATACGGTAAAGATACGAAAGACATATATTGCAGTTCAAAACAACTTGTAAAATATTCCATTTTCAGGATGCGACTTTTTAATGCAAAAGCAAACTGTTGCTCAACTATTTGGAAGAAAGGAATTATTAAACTAAGATAATTAGGTTTGAAGGAACATTTTCAAATGAATGAAGCAATCATAGGGAATCCATTCCCGATGGAATATGAATGGAATGAAGGTGATTAACTCTCGTAGGGAGCAACGGTATTAACCAGAACGCCATGAACTGTAAACCTCAGTGAGCTACAAACAGCAAAGGTATATTTAAAACTTTGGCCATAAGGAGGTCCTTTCGAGAAAGAACAGTTGTGCTTTTAATCAAACATCAAAACATTGCAGAACTGGGAACACAGTAATGGCCTAACAACCAACTACATAAACAATGACTAATTCAGGTTCAATATCGGATTCTCTTTGAGCATGAAGAAAATATGAGGACAATATGACTTTTTCAGTCTCAACTAACCAAAATAATACAATGGTTTGACATGATCATAAAGGAAAGAGAGAGTGCCGGATACTTACTCTAACAACGTCCCCAACCTGCAGCTTCTTCCAGGGAAGGGATTCCCACCTTTGCTCTTGCAGAATCTCAACAGATGAATTATTTATTGTCATATCATTTTGAAGGCGCTTCTGTTAAGATTAGAGTTTTGTTTTAGGAAGGGGGATAAAAGTTAAGTAAAAAGGATGTCGATAATTAAGAAAACCAAAAAAATTACATGCTAAAGACTGTTAGAAATGCTCGAGTAATAGTCCATGGATAACCAACTTCTAAAAGCATTATCGATAGATGCAATCAAACACAGTCAGTCTAGAGTTTAATATTGCTCACCCAATCCTCAAATGCCTCCTTGACAAGAGAGACAAAAAGTACAAGACTTAGCGGGATCACATTTGTAATTGGACTAACAGGACTGCACAGAAACAAAACCATTTTAGAATCAATACTTACATATTTGGAAGCAAGCCAAAAATTGAAGGGCAAATTGCATGAAAAAGTAACGTACTTTAACTTTATTCCTATTTTGGGTAACGTACTTTCAGAACTTCCATTTTGGTACCTAAGATGTAAAGTTTTAAACATTTAAGTACCCGGGTAACTGGTTGAAGCATTAACCGGTTACCATGCTGATGTGTCAAGTGATGGGATGAAACTGGGTTGAATAGCAAATAACACTGAGTTGGATACCACATCACTCGTCATATCAACATGGTAACCGGTTAATGCTTCAATTGGTTACCCGGGTACTTAAATGTTTAAAACTTTACATCTTAGGTACCAAAATGGAAGTTCTGAAAGTACGTTACCTAAAATAGGAATTAAGTTAAAGTACGTTACTTTTTCATGCAATTTGCCCAAAATTGAACATGTTAACATTTATTAAAAAGAAAAAGTGGGTCCGGCATGCAGAATAAAGTGAGCAACAGAAAGTTCAAAGAGGTGTATTTGGTAGGTCGCAACAATTATTTCCTAGAAAGTCTAAGCACAGGTTCTATCATCCATTTATGCATGACGATAAAAGAGAATCCAACAACAAGTATGGGCTCTAACAAGCCCATAGTTAACTTATATGGAAGATAAAAAGTACTCTCTATGTCTAAAAATAGATGCAACAATATTTTTTATGGAATTGCAAAATTTCCCTTCTTGGCAAATTACCTCTTTGTCTATAATCAATTTTTGCAATATACTAATAGCACTGGTTTTTGTCCATAAAATCCCCTATTTTGTCATTATTGAATGGTATTTTAGATATTTAACTAATAGTCAAACACTTGCATTAAATTGGCATATAATCCAAATTAAACCATGGAGGTTGAATAAATTACTCCAGGTACGAGCATAAAGCCATAAATCATGTGGTTACAAGTAAATAACACCAACAAAGCAATATACATGCTAATCTTCTGGGTTATTTTTCGGCAATCATACCTGACAGGTGTAAATGATAAACAAGAGATCGTAAGAAAGTACAGGTTAGCCACCCGCCTAAACTGTCAATTATAAACAAGATACTATGTCAGTAGCATACAAGATACAAGGTTCAGATAATTAGTCAACTTCAATGAAGTTGGTACAAATAGAAGCCATAAGTACACAATAAAGAATTATATCCCTAAAATATTTTTAAAAAAAAACTTCTAGGACAATAAAGCACTGCTAATAGTGAGTTAAATGAAAACAATGTCTTCATTTTTAAAATATAGTCCAAAGAAAAGGCAATCCCCTCCCACTAACAAAAAACCCATGTTCATCCTTCTTGTCCTCTCAAGGGTGTTCATGCTGGTAAGTACATTCATATGCATGCACAACGATATGTTAGAGATTTTTGTTTGGCAGGAGGGGGGGAGTCCTAGGCATTACAAGTTTGCATGAAACTTACAAGCAACTTAATTAAATTTTCACGAGTCATGACCAAATTCACTAAATGCTTCTTTAGTAAATGTTTGAATGACTTACCTGCTCATAGAGCCCTTTTGGTAAGAAGGTAGCCACGTTGTACTTCGTAGTTGATACAGCATTTCCCTGAAACGATTGATTCACATCAATCAAGATTTAATCCATGCAAGCTACTCTCTTCATCCACAAATAAATGAGCCATTTGCTCAGAACATAAAAAGGTAGAGCATGTCTCATCATTTTGATATGTATATCATCTATCAATATATTCTATATAGGAATAAAAGTTCCTTTTTACATTCCAACGTCTAAAATAATTGGATACTACATCAGAAGAGAATCAATCACATGGACACGACATGCAAGTCACGTATCCGACCAGACGAACCACGACAAAAGCACCGCTAGATGTAAGAACAGAGGATTGTAATGTTATTAATATATTTTACAGACAATTTTAACTAGATGTGAAATTTAATGAAAACTATTTTGAATGACAAACAACTTATGTTCAAAAAAGAATGACACCCAACTGATAAGCTATAATTGATCATTATGAAAGGAAAGTATCAAGAAAAAAATGAAGACTTGTAGTTGATATTTGATATACATGTTAAAAAGAACAAAAAAATGTAAATATTATTCAAATTTTGAAAAAGAAGGCCCATACTGTTTGGAACAAAACCGAAAGGGTCATAATTTGAGATACAGGAATTATTGTAGTACAATTAATAAAAAGATGGCTTGTGCTAAGAAACTAGATAAGCTTCCATGAAAGACAGCAGCAATTATATTTCTCTTCATATATGGCACTAATGAAGTTTCCAATGTAAAGAGCGTATACCGATCTCTATGTCAATAACTTATTTAACATGGTGGTACCTTCATGCTCCAATAATATCCGGTGTCATTTTGCATGTTTCTCCCATAACTGTAATTGTGTATGTTATGAAAGGCATGCTCAGACATGAGGCCTGTTGAAGCACAACTTTGGGGCCAAGCCTTGATTGAGGTTCCCCGGTTTCTTGAGACACATGCCTTGTCCTTTTAGGCAAAAGAAATGCGGTGGAATATATTTAAGCAGACACAGGTCAGTTTTTTGGAACGTGTATTTCAATGAGGCCCATCCCAATTAAGAAGTTTTCAACCAAATAAACTACAAAAGGTAGAAAAACCCGGAATGGCTGGAGAGCAAAGGTTCCTTTAAGTCAAAGTTCGGGCATTGGCTCATCCTCAAATGCCTTTCTGCCTCTCCTTATCCTCTTCATCTCTACGTTCTTCTCTTTGATCTTGTTTTATGGGCATGGAGTTGAATGATTGTTAGTGGTTATTAGGCTCTTAACTTCAGTTAATGGTTTTATTTCATTTTCAATAGTTAATATTTTTTTCAATTTGCTTGATATCTTTGATGTTAACTAAATGTTGCTGGTTTATGATGTTAGTTATTATTGGTGTTAATATTAACATTAAATTGTTAATTGATGAATTATACAATTGAATGTTAGTGATTCAGTATAATATGTATTACTAATTGATGTTAATGATGCTATAGCAAATTCAATACTCCAAGAAGAATGCCTTTTCCCCTCCCTCTTTAATGATTTGTGTGTGTATTTGGATTTGTATAAATCATGTGTCTCCTTTTATTGACGCACGAACCTTGCCTTGCGCCACATGCCTAGGCCATGGGGAGAGCTCTGCATGTTGGTTGCCTCACACAACGTTTTGTGCAGATCATAGTCTCTCTCTCTCTCTCTGTCAATTAGAAGCAATAGTTTATTTATTGGTCTGCATATTCTGAACAATATAGAAGTCATAACTCTAGCGAAGCTCCCCAACCTAGCATCCTCAAAGTTACAACACCATATGAAAGCCTCGTTTTCTTTTCATGACAAGAAAATAGTGAACACAAAACTTATAAGTTATCTCTCTACCTGCCCAACCCACCATACCCCTCCAACCTGAAGTAGAAAAATAAGAACACATCATGCTATAAAAACCAGCCTGTGACAAAAATTCACAAAAATGATCAACTCTCCTGTTTGCAGAAAGCTCAAGAGAGGACACCCATGCAATAACAAGAAAATGGTGTAGTGATGAAAATGAATGAAAATCCTGATGCAACCCTAACTTAGAACTCTCTTCTCTCCCTCTAAAATTTTCAATATGCGTGGGGGTTTTATTAAAGATAAAGAATAAGAGAAACAATAAGCAAGACAGAAGAAAAGTCAGGAAAGCACTTTTGCTGAGGTTGTGAGTTTTAGCAGATGAGAAGAGAGAAAACTTAGCCCTCATTCTCAATAAATTCCTACTAGAATCAGAGATAACTACAAGAAAAGAAAAAGAATCCAATTTACAATTCTCAAATACCAAATTCTAACCTAGCATAGCAACAATACAAAATGATATATGTTAAGATCACATGGTAATTTTTAGTTTTTCCTTGCATGTTGCTTTCAAACTTACAAACAAAAGAGCGGAAAAGGAATTTTCCTTCATAACCTCAAAAACCCCTAGAGTGAAGTTAACTCCCCCTTCAATTCCTTCTTTTCCTACCATTTACCTTCTCGTTTTCTTGCTTCTCCTATGTTCATAAATGGAGTGCACAAATCTGTTGATGAGTTTGCGCACAGGGAAAGCCTGAGAAACAAGGCTGCATATTTTCTCCTGTAGGCTCTCACCGCATAACCAAGTTCATTATGGATGGTCAATAAATTCAAAGGGTCACAACTGGTTGTGTCACCAAAGGTCCAAAGCTTTCTTAATGGAAGAAAATCCTACATAACTACTATACATCATCTAGAGATATACATATTCACATTGGCAAGTGGCAACTTTCAGCAATATGAAGAATATGTACTAAAACTGGATGCAGTATTTGGATTGATCTTGCTAAATACCATTTTGGACCACATGCTAACTAAAGTACTGAACTGCCAACCTAAAACTGCAAACACAACAATAGCGATCAGTCAAAAGGAACTTAGCATTGTCAGCCACTGGTACATGTTCATCCTTCTTTGCTCTCATTTCCCCTTCAATGATCTTTATATAATGTTTTATTTTTTATATTCAACCATTGACCACCGCATTACTGTCAAGCAATCAAACATTACTCAAAACTCGTCATATCAAAACCCACTAGAGCTTCATATCTACAAAGACCAAGTCAACTCAAACTTTAGCAACACAAACCCCACCTAAAAGTTATCAATCTTGAATAATCATAGTCCATTGAACTCCAATTCTACACAACATCCAAAAACTGTTACAGCATGGTCAATGATCATCATGTTCCCATCAAAACCACCAAATATTAGTTACTATACCAATTCATATCTCTTCAAGCACAAAATCTACATAGTAGAAAGAGATGAAGCGCAAATAAACCATTATTTCAATCAATCACACATCTAACCGCAATTTACATGCATCTATGATTAAAAAAAGACATGCACCTTGTATTTGGCAAGGTAGTTGGCTTCGCGATCGTTGCAGAAAACGGTGCGATGACCTGGCGCCTGGGGCTGAACGCGACCAAGTCGAATGGTGCTCATTGAGGGGTTTCTGTCAACAGCCAGCGGCGTACCGGCGGAGGCACTATCGCCGCCTTGTCTTGATCCAGATGCCTCCCTCCACCCTGTCATTACTTTACTCCGATAGCAGCAGGATGAATCAACCAAAAATTCGAATCAAGAACCCAATCTTAACACATAATCATACAGATAAACTATGTTGTTACCAACAATTGACAATTTAGAGTTGTCGAATGGAGGATTTATGAAACCAATTTTCGCCCCCAATTCGTCGTCGTCTTCGTCGTTGAGGGTTCCAACACACCAATTGGATCGTCGAGCGTAAGGTACAGACAGCCTTCAACTTATACGCATTGCCCACGCGCCGAGAAGGACCGTGTCTTGTAGATTCTTGGTTTATCAAAACGGTGACGTTTGCGCCTGGAACATGTCCGCAACAAGGGCTTTGCTAAAGTGCGCCGTGACGCGTAAAATATTTAACGGAATTGGTTAAACATCTAACGGATGTAGCAGTTAACGACGTTAACTTCCGTTATCCAATTGGGCTAACTTGAAGCGCTTATTAATGCAAACCATGGGCCACATTTGGGCCAATGGTTAATAATTTATCTTTAAATTGATTAATTAAAATCTCATTAATCTATACTATATTATAAAATATTTGACAAAAAACTCTTAAAAATCATTTTTATTGATAAAGTATTGTTTACTGATCCATATTACTCAAAATTTAAAACTACAAGTAAATTGTTCATAAGTACAACTTGTTAAAGCTCCATTTTAAATATGTAACTAACTACAGATAAACATAATCAAATATAAGATAAACATTTCATTTTAAATATAAAAAATCTAAAATATAATTAGGATAATCATTAACATTTAAGAGAATACTTAATTATTATCATTATAAAAAATTATATTTTTAAACTGAAAATAAATTACTTCATTATTAAATTATAAAAAAATTGAATTAAAGAAAATAGACAAAAAATGAGAACTTTTAAATACTTAATTTTGATTATAATATTGATATGTTTTTTCAACTTTTTATGGGATTTTCAAATTTATATTTTATTCAAACATTATCATTTTATTCAAAATCATATAAAGTCGTGTTATAACATTGACAGAGACAAATAATAGAAATAAATGTTGAAATCGAAATATATCTCGTTGCATTGCGCAAGTACCCTTTCTAGTGTTACTATATACCTAAATATATATTGTTTTGGGGTCATTGAATCATTGTATTAAAAAATATGATCATTATTTTGCTTTTGGTGTACATAAACCGAACCAAATACATATGATAAAGAAACAGGATTATTATCATAAATGACCAGAAAAATTTACTTTTTAGCCACCTCCAAAAAAATCACAAAAATAGCTGAGAAACTGGAAGTCAACATCGTAAGGCATTTTTCCTTGCGGTTTCTGACATTTTCTGACGCATCTAGATGAAACATGGGCCAATCGCAAAAATAAATCGAGACACAACAACTTGCGGCACCGCAAAGACATGCATCGACGCACAAAAAGTAAGCCAAAGTCATAGCTTGTGACATCATAAGAAAAAAAAAATGTCTTGCGTCTTTGACTTGTTATTTCTTGGTTGTTTTGTGAATAGAAGTTTGGAAGTTGCTAAAAAAGGCTTTAAAAAAATAGCCCATATGATTTATTTATACGAGTGTCGCATTTATAATATGGTTAATATATTGTTTATTTATGCAATTTCTAAAACCAAATAAAACAAGTATTAATAAATAAACTCAATCAACATAACTTATATGACTTTTTATCCTTTTAGACCCAGATTCCATAGTTGTCGCCCCAATTGTCAACCATGTATTATATGAAGAAGACGTCTTTGATCCTGTTGAAGCATTTGAACATCTGTGCATGATGGAACCAGAATCTACTATACAAAATATTATCAAGATATTTTAATGGTATATTTTCTCACTTCTCTCTTAAACCCAAGAAAGGTGGTCCATGCCACCGTATTTTCCATCTATCGTAGTGTAAAAAAAATTAGAGTCTTAAAAGTGTCACCGTATTAATTTGTTGTGTGCTACCATATGTCTTTTGAAACTACAGCAAGAACAAGTTTTCTTTAGTAGAGTTGATTAATAAGGTTTTTCTTCTATATGAGACCCGAGTTCAAATCTCATTAATGTCATTTTCTTGGTTAAATGGTGTCATCATTTGGAAAAAAAAATAAATCTATATTTGTTTCTTATAGAAAAAATTTTGGGCCTGTCCCTGTAATTTTGGCCATGGTGAATAGAGACCATACTTTTATACGTATTTTATTTAGTATGTGAATAAATAAAACGAGATGTGTAAAATGACTTGATTATATAATTGATTTTTATTTTATTTTTCATGATCCGTCTGTCATATTCTACTTGACTCGGTTGAAAGCTCGATTAAACTTTTTGAATCGAGTCGAATTGGCCATTCGAAAATATGTTCATAACTTATAAGTCATACAACAAAAATATAAAATGTAATGAACCTGACACAATAAACAAGTTAATCGTTTCATAAGCTGGTGTCTCTTTGTTTACACACAATAAAGCAAGAGATATAAAATGTGTATCTACGCATAACAGTCAAACTTATTTAGATAGCTTATAGACTCAAGGGTTGGGTTCCGGTGAGAACATCAGTTATAGTGAGTAGGTTAAGAAATAATCTTCATCTTTGGATAAATCGTAACTGAAGATCAACACTAGTATGATGCACCAAGATGCACCGGATCAAATGTCCCAAATTTTCACTAATTATTTATACCCCCTCCTCACTCACCACTTACATTTCATAATCATGTGTCCCAAATTTTCACTTAGGGGTCGTTTACCTAAACACTTACCCGGTAAGCACTTACTGGTAAAATTCAACGTCATCGTTTACTTACCGAATAAGATTTTATTCACCAAAACGTATCGTATGTAACAATTTATCTCGGTAAGCGCTAACCATAGTAAGAGTCATCGCCCTCACTTACCGGATAAAACTTTGTATTCTTGCTTTCGCTCTTACCAGATAAGATTCTTAGTCTCTGCCATATTCATTTGGTAAAGTAATGTGACTTGGTAAGCACTTACCCGGATAAGCGTTTGATAAACGGCACCTTATTCATATTCACTAATCATATGAATAGAAATTCTGAGAGAAAATGAATGGAACGTGTGATTTTTATCCCTTCACTCGTATACCAAGTAATATAAGAGAGAAATGAGGAGCTAAATTAACAAATGGCAAGTAATAGGTTCATCTTTTGGTAATTAAGTCTACTAAATAAAATAATTCCACAAATACCACTTAACCAAGCACAAAAAGTGACGCAAAAAATAAAAGTAAGGTACGTTTACTGAATACTTGTCGAGTAAGCGTTTATCGGTAAAATTTAATAGTCTCACTTACTTACCGGATAAGATTTTAGTCTACTAAAACGGTATTGTATGTACCAATTTACCCAATAAGTAAGCTAAGACTCTTGGTCCTTGTCTCGCTCTTATCGGATAAAATTCTTGGTCTTTACCATATTCATCCGGTAAGGTAATGTGACTTGATAAGCGTTTACCCGAGTAAGTGTTTGATAATCGGCCCCTAAAATGGAAAAACAAAACAAGTGAACAAAGTTTTCACATATTTTATCAAAATAAAAGGGGATAAAACATGAAAACAACTATATATATATATATATATATATATAATGTTACTATGCATGTAAAAAGAAAGATCATATATATATATATATATATATATATATATATATATATATATATATATAGTATACGTAATCATGAAACACACAAACCTTGTTAGCTCAATGGATACAAGATTTTGGCAATTTCATGGCAGTGTTCTTATTCCTCTTTGATCATAAGAATTCGAGTGAAATTAACTATATTGTTCTTTCGAAACTGCCGCCGATTTGCATATGCAACCATTCGGGTGATGACGTCCTACTAAATTCTCTCGTCGTGGGTTGTGAAAACGGCATGTCCAATGTTCGGTGACCCAACTGAGACACACGCCATTCGTGTATGAGACAATAGATATAGCAAGTTTGCAATAAAATTGCTCTTTAAACATGAACTACTAGCTGATAGCACTACTAGAAGATGGACTTTCCCAATATTACTTACAGACACCTCCGTCACTAATAACCTACGGATCACCAAGACCCCACCGACAAATTTCTAACCAAAAAGTAGACGTGGATTGTTGACGGGTTAACGACAAGACAAAAGCTGCAGGTAATTTAGTGACGGATTACTGAGAGATTTGCAATGTGTTTTTTTATTTCTTATTTTTATTTCTATATGGGTAGTAATGGTTATAATGAGCCTTATTGGGTTAGATTGTTAAAGTCTACATGTTAATTACAGAAAAAGACGAAAACTTAAAATTTTCTTTTAAAATCCAAGATTTCCAACAGATATCCTTTGAAAAACCAACCGTAAAAAACAACCATCGACGATAACCTTGTTTTTAGTAGTGATTGTGATTCATGACTGTAAGTCAAGTTAACACAAATAATTAATGATTGAACATGGGAGATTTTGTTAGAAGAGTTGACATTGGAACTTACGTCTTTCGAAGGGAATCCTTCGGGGTTTAGGTTTGATCTTGAAGTGACAGCTTCAAGCTTCATCGATAAGAACTACATAAACCAATTAATTAGCACATCATTTGATCTCATCCATACGGACAGTTAAATCACGATGAAATGATCTACCATAAAGATAACTCATACCTCAACCTGCCGTTGTAACGCTTGGATGTAATTGATAATCTCATCGAGGACCAATGCTTTTCCAATGACCTGAGATCACCGCATTAGACAAGTTTGAATAAAATGAAGCGAAATATAATGACGGATTTCTTACATCTCGTACAAAAGAAAGTTTTTACGTCATTCTTAAACCATTTACCTTATTTTATTATCAAAAGTCAACATTTATTTGTATGACAGATATGGCCTCTATCATTTTCAAACTAAATATAGGGTAGGTAAATACATACCTATTATTTATAAAATACATATCTATTTATAACATGTTATCGTTCAATATCAACATACCATTTATATTTCCAATATATGATTTGACCTGATACAGTTCATATGATTATGGGACAAAAGATTTGCACGAAACCCCTTCATAATTTAACATGGTTATCAAATTAAAACGGTCAAAATTCACACGTGGGCCGTATGCCCCATTTTGGTAACGCTTGGATTCGAATATGGGAAGATAAAATTTCTATTTCATCCCTTAAACGTCGTTAACTGGTGTGTCACAACCCAACTGGTTATATTCATGTAATATTTGTAGAGGGATGAAATTGTAAATAGGTGACCAATCAATAAAAAGGAACAAAGCAGTTAAGCTCCATAACCCATGTAATGCAGAAAAGAAATAGATGGATATGTAGAGATGCAATAGGAAAAGGTGATACATCATACCTTGTTACAGCCAGGGACTAGATCTTGGAGAATTTTCATCCTCTCACTTATCTTCTCTCTTCTCGCCTGTTCATCAAATCAAATACGTCAAAGATCAAGATAAAATTGTCTCCAAAACCATGTACTTTTGGCTTTAAAGCTCAAAAGTAATTACATATCATCCCCACAAATCAAAATTATGGGCTGTTTGGCAGTTGCTGAATGGTTTGGTACAAAATGATTAAGTGACTCTCATGATATAGTGCAAAATGGAATATAATTGTTTGGTAATTGTTTACAATGAAATTAGCACGTTTAATGGTTAAGGAGACCCAAGATACAAAATCATTCAATAAGAGCCAGACTTTTTTTTTTGTCAAACAAGATTCACTTGTTAATGATTCAGAGTTTGCCTCTTAATGAAACTATTAAGAGGTAAACAAACAACCCCTTAGAGGAACATCACATCAAATGTTCTAAAATAGAGATTTTGGGCAAGTTTTATGCTCCAACAAATATTCAAAAAAAATCCCCAAAACTAAGAAAGCAAGTAGAGAGTTTGAATTTTTCCAAATTTTAAGAACTCTCCAAAAATGATTAACATGAGAGAGAAATGCTTTTTTAATTATATTTCTATCAATGAGAAACTTTGAAATTAAGTCTTTAGGTATAAATAATATTTTAATACAGTACTATTTTAATAATATAATCAATATTTGTAATCACCGTTGGAGAAGCTGACGGTGTTGAAATTTTTTATAGAGATTTTGGATTTTAATTCTCTGTTTTAGAGAAATTTTAAAGAAATTGTTGAAAACGATATCTTTAAGTGGATGGAACCAAAAGAAGCACAACTTTAATTAAAAAAAACGTTAATTAGAAGCAAATTACTCGTTCTGCTAGACTGTGACTATCAGTGGCTTGACCTCTTCGAGCTCGCACATGGATGTAGTCTTGCTTAGATTCAGCTGGCTTTATGTGGTTCTCTGCTAGCTTTCCAAAACCTCCATCAGCTTTGGCTTTAGGTTCGAAATTTTCATTTCCAAGCCCCAACATTCTAAGACGTTTGCCATCACAATCACTCTGTTAAAATTTTAAGAAATTTATCATAAAAAAAACCTAGCTCAAAGTTGCTGATTACAATCAGAATAGCAAATCTCTAACATTGAAAAAACCAACTTCAACTAATTCGTTATCGACATAACGTACTAGTTCTCTAACATTAATTTTTTTAGCATAATAGCAAGATTCGAATTCCGCAAATAAATGAAAAATAACGGAAGAAACTGTTACATGCTTTACTTTTTTGTGGAAATGAGATAAAATTATCAGTAATCTTATACCTAACATGGAGTTGGTTCAAACAAGAAGACTAAATATCATGAAAATGTACGAAATGAAAGTTAAAGAAAAGTTTGTATATAAACCATTGAAAAATACGAGAGAAAAAAATGCTATTTGAATATGCATATCTATCGTCAAATGTACTTTTTCTATGATTTCATATGAAACTTCCCATTTGTCTTTATTTCTTACCTTTTCATCATATTTAGACTTCTTATTTAGACCTCCGGATATACAACATAACAAGAGCAATAGTTCTTTTTATGGGTACCATATGTTTTTAACATCAATAATTATTATATTTATATTATATTATAAAACATTTGACAAAAAACTCTTAAAAACCATTTTTTATGCATGGAGTATTGTATATTGATGCATATTACTTAAAATTCAATATTACATGTAAATTATGCGTAAGTACGACTCATCAAAGCTTCATGTTTGAATTCTTGTAACTAATTGTGGATAAACATAATCAAATAGAGGATAAACATCTCATTATAAAATATAAAAATTCTAAATTATAATTATGATAACTATCGAGTTCTAACAAAATAATTTTTTATTATGATTACAAGAAAATTATATTATTAAATCAAATATAAAATACTTCGTTATTGAACTTATTAAATTATAATAAAAAATTTAAATATTTTAAATAGTTAAATTGATACTAATATTGATATATTTTTATCAAAATTTCATGATATTTCAATTTTATATTTTATTCAAATATAAAAACATCATCGCTTTTTCAAAATCATAGAAGACCGTATTATAACATCTACTGATATAAATAATAAAATAAAATATTAAAAATCAAGATGTATCTCGCTGAATTGCACGAATACCCTTCTAATATTTATAGATAAATATATAAAAAACCAGTTATCATCTCACATCAACTCCAAAGTAATAATTAACGTTCGTTGCGAAAAGAATTGAGATTCTTATGAAAACTCCCTGCACTATTGGTTGTCATAAGTTACACTTTATACTTATAAACTTATAAGAATTTAATCACCTTTTTTTTTTTCTTTCTAATTCTGGCTCCCAAAGCAATTCGAACCAATTTAAATCTCAACATCAAATTATAGCAACTATTGTTATTATTGATCATCTAGACTTGAGATGACGTGAGACTAACATATTTTCGTGAAACCCGAGAGACCATTTTTTTATGCTTGAAACTTTACAGTAAAACGCTGAAAGACCTTGTGAAGGTTCGGTTTTTTTTACCTTCATAATGAAATGAAGTTTTAAGTGTAAAAAAATAGTCTCATATGAACCCAACCTGATCATGATATCAAATAGTGTTTTGCAAAATATTAAAACTATTTAATTAAAATGTTTGAGTAATTGATTAATGATTACCATGCCATTGCTAGGACTACTACTCGAAACTCGTTTAGGCGAGTCATCTTCTTCACGTTGCTTCTTACTATGGAAATTACTCCCTCTCTGGTCCAAATCCATTGGATCATCAACAGAAACATGATCTCCATGATTCATATAGGCATGAACACTACTGCCGCTATTGTTATTACTATTGTTTTCGCTGTTCCCACTCAATTGCCCCCAACCAAACGACGCCGAATTACCGACGCTGCCACCGAAATTGACATGGAACGGCACGATATCCGCCAAATTACACAACGACGAAGCCGAGTTACCGGACCGGAAATCACCTCCGTTCATCATCACCGGCGGATCCATCTCACGAAAATAAGAACACCGGTGAGTTGAACTTCAATATCGATCCGAATCCGAAACTCTCACATGAAAATCCTCCAAATGCTTCAACGGTGATACTGTTAACGAGATGTCTCGAAACTCGATTTTTCTTAGCCGGTAACGCTATCTCCGACGACCGTGGAGAGTACTTTGATGGATGGATATAGATATAGATAGAGATAGAAAATGTGTATGTATAGAGAGAGAAAGTGAGAGGGAAACAGCGGTGATAAAGCTGTGTGTTCGACAACTGAGGGTGGTTGGATGCGTACTGTGCCCCCACCACTATATTATTCGGCGTATGTTAGTGAGAGATGAACATTGGGAGTTGAAAGAAGTGACTTTTGAGTGAGGCATTCTCGGAGTATCCAGCGTTTCTTTGTCGAGGCTCATCCAAAAAGAGTGCTCGAATCATAAATCCCAGATCAATATTATACCTTCGTATTTTTGTAGGGCAAGTGCACTTTTAAAGTAGATCAAATGTCTGTAAAATCATTCGATGTGTTGTTAATCGAATTTTACTTTTTCAAGACATTTTTTAAGCTGGGGAACCGAACCGATCCAATCATTCATTGGATGTTGGATTTTGTCAACCGATCCGATCTGATTAACATTGGATAACTGATCCAATCCAATTGATAATTGGATCAGACAGTTTCATCCATTGGATATCCAATGAATGATCCGTTGGGATTAGGTCCATCTAATGTGTTAATTCAATCCAATTCTCCAACAATGATACAAATTGGTTAATCACTTTTAATATGTGTTAAAACCAACACAAAGAAAGTTAAAAATTAAAAACATCACATAAAGCAAGTTCTTATTTAAGCAATTCGAAAATAAATTAATTGAATAATGGTTGGATGAACAACTGGATGGTAATTGGATTATTAATTGGATGTTGATCTGTTCGGTTCGGTTTTGGTTGGTTCTTAACTGCCATCCGACCGATTCAAATTGGATGTTGAAAATTTGAATTCGATTTGATCCAATTACAATTTGATATCCAATTATGATCGGTCGGTTCCAATTAGATCGGTTGATTTTCTGTGTGGTGTTGTAGTACCATGGTATAAGATACTGCATGTTAACCAAATTTACATACTTTGTATAGCAGTATCAACTAATTTAAGCTGCTATCAGTTTAATTTGTATGATTGATATATATGTTGACTGATGTATTTTATTAAAATAAACAAGACATTTTTATTTTTTTCCAGACGGAAATCTTGAGGAATGTATTATTGACATGTGAAACTTGCTTATAATCAACACTTAGCATTTTGATTAATTAGCGACACACGAATCATAAATGTATGTCTATTTTAGTAAAGGTTATTAATGATGATGGTTAATGAAACATTAGATATAATATCAAGGGGTTGTTTATCAAACGCTTATTTGGGTAGACGTTTATCAAGTTACATTACCTTATCGGAAGAATATGGTAAGAACCAACAATCTTACTCAATAAAAGCGAAACAATGACCAAAAATCTTACTTGATAAGTGAATGTACAACCCTTACCATGGTAAGCGTTTACGGAGTAAATTTTTGTATACGATGTCGTTTTGGTAGACTAGAATCTTATCCGATAATTAATGATAGTGTTAAGTTTTACCAGTAAACGCTTACCGGGTATATGTTTGGTAAACGGCCCCTAAAAAGATGTATAAATAGTAAAATATCAAATTTTATATAAGATTATTCATTAAATTGGTTTTTATGTGTCGAAAACTAAATACATTTAAGGGGGTGTTTGTTTTGATGAAATTATTTTTTTGAGAAATTTGGGTTTTGTGAATGAATTTGGAATTGCGAAAATCTGAAATCTTATTTGTGTTTTTGGTTTGTAAAATCTAAAATACAATTGAATTTCATTCTTTATAAATAATTTATAAAAATAATAAAATTACCTTTTTATTAATTTATTATTAAAAACAAATATTTTTAACATGTTTTAAAATATTATTATATATGAATATTTTGCACTACATTAAAAATGTTGTTTCATTGATGATGAATTAAAGTCTCTACAAAAAATTGTGCTTATGTTCTTGTTCCACAAGGGTGCGTTCGGTATATATTGGATATGACAGGACAAAACAGAACTCAAATTGTTCCACATTTGACAGAACTTTTATATGAAACAAACACATACAGAGTGAAACAAAGTAGAACCGACATGTTCCAGCCCTACACCACGGAACAAGGCGAAACAGACTTATATTTTACAAATATAACCTCAAAATAAAACTTAATTCTTTTCTAAAATAGCAAATAAGTCTCCTTCTTACATTTTATTCATTATTTAAATATTATTTATTGTATTTTTTATATTTTTAAATTTTCATTTTTATGTCCTTAAAATATTATTTTTATACGATTATTTTATTAATTCATGTAATTTATTATATAATAATAATAATAATAAATAATAATGTAGAAAAGGAATGAAAAATAAAAATTGAAAACTACATAAATTTTATTTTGATAGCATTTTAATTGTTTTGTCGAAAACTTTCTAATGATATAATTTGTTATAAAAAATATTTTATTATAACTTAATGAATTACATAAATTAATAAAAATATATAAACAACTCATCACGAGTAAAATTAGTCATTTTACTTGTTCTGTTATGTCCACTTTTGTCATACCAAGTACTGAACATTGTTTTGTCTTATCATGTCTTCACACCAGTCGCATCATAAGAACCCAAAGTTAGCAGCCCTCAAACTCGTGACACATGAGAAGTGGCCACCATAATAAGTCAACGTGTGTACAAACTAATCTACACGTCATGGCCACTAGACAATTTTTTAATCCTTAACTTTTGAACCTTATAAGATCAGTAAAAATGGACACAAATTGATCATACATCCATAAATATTAAAAAAAAAAAAAGCATTTTAATGCATTATTTTTAGCCGATAATATATGTTTTTCTAAGTTTTTTACCCGTTTGTCCAAAAAATATAACAAATGACGAAAATAAACTAATGTTCAGATAAAGATACCAAATGTTGTTTACAAGAGTTTTTTTTTTTTTTTAATATTAACCTGAATATCCAACCTGCTATGCGAGCTGACTAATCCCAGGGCGACCACCTGCTTTGCAGATAGTCCGGAGTCACCGCATTTGAACATTCGTGGCCACAAGGGGAATTTTTGTTCCTCCTTGGATTTGAACCTGAAACCTCCTGGTATTTTTGATCTTTGAAGCCAAGCTCAAACCAATCAGGTACTACCCTTATGGTTGTTTACAAGTTTTATTATATAGGTGGGTATAATGGTCAATTACTATAGTGGTTGGCCTAACAAAGTTTGGTGGGAGGTTGATAAATACAAGCTTGCCTAATACTTCTTTATTTCGGTTAGACATCCATCATCAATATAAATACCCTTCATCTTCCTTCTTGTCTCAAATTTACCGATTAATGTATACAGGGACGGATCCAATATTTTTTTTTCCAAACGGTGTAACCATTTGACTAAGAAAATGACACTAACGGGATTCAAACTTAGGTTTGGGGTGGAATAAAAGCCTTACAGACCAACTATACCAAATAAAACGTGTTCTCATTGTAGTTTCAAAATACATACGATGACACACAAAAAATTAATACGATTGCACACCTTTCACGAACCTAATTTTTTTTACCCTTTGACGAATGAATAATACGATGGCACGTATCACCGTATACAATAGTATAGGTCCGTCCATGTATATAAAAATCTAACTCTAATTATGTTAGAATTTTTATAAGTGGTATTTAGGTCATGTAACGTTTTTTTTAATATAAAAACATAATATTTTAAGTATGTTTTTTACATCAATTTTGTTAACAAAAATTGGTGCAAATAAACCGTTTTACATTAAATTTTGTGTTTTACTATTTATAACATCAAAATGATGCAAATATGACGTGTTTATTGAAAATAAATAATGTAAAAAGTGAGATTTTCGTTGGTAGATGCCTAGAATCTAATATTACCAGAAATAGAAAAAGAAACATATATCGTTTATAAAAAAGACGACCCAATGATTATATTCCTATAAGCTTATTTGAGACCCTTCGAATTCTAACATGTGATTTAAATGAAATTTTAGTCGTTTTTAACATGTGGAACATGTGTTTTCCTAAATAATACTTAAGAAAATTATTAAAATGAAAGATTAAGATAAGAATAATACATAAAAGAACCAAATGAATACGATGACTTATTTGGTAAGACAAAAACCATACCCAAGAAAGTGAAAGTTTGGTTCTTTTCTAGATTTGTGGTGTAACAAACATGTGGCTTTCAAGTGGTTTTAAATTGAATCAAATGATTATCGGGTAAGTGCTTATCAAGTCATATTTCCTTACCGGATGAATATGACAATGACTAACAATCTTACCTAGTAAGAGCGAAGATACTATAAAAATATTTGTTTAGTTATTTTCTCAATTGTACGTCCAACAAGAACAAGACAAGGACCCCCAACTTGATATCTTGATTGTTAATTGGTCAATTTGCAGCACACACTGATATTTTCGTTCGAAATATAAAATATAAAAAATTATACACCTTGATGAATTTGTAAAAAGTCAATTGAAAATCGACCTGAATAAGTTATCTTTATTCAGTTAAGTGAACCGTTTAAGCCGAAAAGGAAAACCCAAAACCGTTTTCATCCGGATTAATTATTTGGTTTTAATTTTTTTTTCTACACCCCCAAGTGGGCCCCTAACTATAAAAATTTATGGATCCGCAACTGTCAAATAAGATCCATCTAAATTAATTGGATTTCAATTGATGAATGCTCCTAGACTGATGCTCATAGTCTTATAAAGATAATTTTGTATACACTCTTTGATTGTCATAATCAAATGAAATTATGCATTGAAAATGCAAAAATCAATTGATGTTTGAAGAGGGTGAGAATAGGCATGGGAATGGGGCGGGGACCTCAATCCCCGTCTCCGTCCCCGATTACTTATCTTTATCTCCGATCCCGTCCCCGTCCCCGTCCCCGATTACTTATCTTTATCTCCGACCCCGTCCCCACCGAGGATTATAATCGCATCTCCATCCCCATCCCCAACGGGGAAACGGAGATTTTTTTTTTCCGTTTATACAAGTTATTTTAAATTAAATATATGAGAGACCATACATATTTAAATCTCAAACATTTTCAATAAACCTAAAATGAAAATGAATTTTTTTTAATACAAAAAAAACTACAACATCATATTGAGACTAATAACCTAAAAAAAAAAAATCAATTTAATCCAAACAAACATAAAATCACATGTACCAAAAGATATTGAGTAACATAAAACCATATCGAGTAATATACAAAACTTGTTGAGTAATTGTATTTTGACTTGACATCCAAAATATTACATATTAACATCCAAAAAGTAACAATTTTAGATTATAAACCTTGTTAGGAAATTATGAATTACCGCTTTAATTGAAATAAATAATATATATATATATATATATGTGTGTGTGTGTGTGTGTTTGTATATATAATTTATTAATTAACATATATGTATATATAACAGGTACGGGGCGCCGGGGCGGGGAGTACCATACCCGTCCCCGTCCCCGTCCCCATCCCCTATTTAGCGGGAAATCCCCGTTCTCGATCGGGGCGGGTGGACCGAGTTCCCCGACAGGTCAGGGCCCATTCTCATGCCTAGGTGAGAAAATAATTAGTAGGTAAGAATGCGTTTAACTCAACCCTTTATAAATGAGTAAATTACATTTTTATCCCTAGTTAAATCCGACTTTTGTTTTTGTGTTTTTAAAATTACGGTTTTTGTCCTTATGGTTTTTAATTCATTATTATTTTTGTCACTAAGGCTAATTTCTATCTTTAAGTATGTGGAACCAAACAAAATTAACTTGTAAACCATAAGAACAAAAATAAGAATGAACTATAAATAATAAAAACGGAAACAACAATGAAAAGTAAGGTATAGGGATAAAATTCATAATTTCAAAAGTGTAGGGACGATAATATCAAATTTCAATAAACCATAGGGACTAAAAACGTAATTTACTCTTTATAATTTGGGGGTGTTTGGGTAAGCTTATTTAAAACAACTTATACTTTTTTGTAAAAGTGCTTATTAACTTATGCGGTATCAAACTGGAGTTTTGTAAAAAGTGTTTGGATTAGCTTATAGCGGTACCAAAATGCAAAATGACCAAAAAGGACAGCTCATTTTTAGGTTATATTTGAAACCCTAGAATCGTTGGAAGTTGGTTGAAGAAAAAGGGTTCATATTTGAAACCCTAGAATCGAAGGAAGAAGCAGGAAGAAGGAAGAAGAAGGAAGAAGCAGGAAGCGAAGGAAGAAGCAGGAAGAAGGAAGAAGCAGGAAGCGAAGGAAGAAGCAGGAAGCGAAGGAAGAATCAGGTATATCTTCTACCCTATACCAAAATGCAAAGCGAAGGAAGAAGCAGGAAGCCGGCGATGAGAAACCAGAGGACTTGCCGGCGATGAGAGGGGAGAGACGGATGCGATGAGAGGAGAGACGGATGCGATGAGAGGGTTAAAAGGGTAATATGTCAAATAAGTCAAGATGGAGTAACTTATCAAAAACAACTTATTACCGGTTTGGCACCGGTATAAGCAGTTTTTTTTTTTTCACATCCAAACACTCAAAATAACTTATCGGCGGTTGTGGACTGAAATAAGTTGATAAGCACCTTAAATAAGCTTTCCCAAACACCCCCTTTGAAACGAAACCAAAAGAGACCCGAGTTGCAGGGAAAATTTTTGCGGCAAAATGGAGCTGAACAAACTATCAAAATTCAAGCTCCAGCTGCAAACCCTAATCACGGAAGTTCGTGAACTCAGAGTAATCTCAATCACCATCCATCCTGTCATGTTCTTAGATTGATTAATCATCAGAACATTATTGATAATTTTCAGGAAAAAGAGCGCGATTCTTCCGATCAACTTCACAATTATGTCCAGGTTCTTATAAATTGAACATTAAATTACTCCCTTTAACGAGCTTGAGTTTGATTTTTGGTGTAAAACTGATGATTTTTGATGCAAAATTGGTATAGGATTCTAGCGGATGTAAGCCATCGTTGCTTAATCTTTAGTACTTGCTGAAAGTTTAATGTAGCTGGGGAACATTTTTCATGCTAGTATCGAAGGTCAAATTGGAGCTCTATGTGAATGTAGAAATTATCTGTAAACCTATCTTACATTATCATTATTTTGAATTTATAAACAGAAGCAACGCGACGAAGAATTTTGTAGAAAGATAATGGAATTGAAAGCGGAGTTAGCTTCATCCAATGAACTTCGCCAAAAACTTGATTGCAAGGTGTAGTTCCTATGTCACAAACTAAATGATACAGTGTTATGTATAAGTTATCCGGTTTATTTTGTATCTCATGGAGTAGTTCTTTACACTTAAACATAAGACAGTGATCCAAAATGTTTGTATTTTCAAGGGTAGGGTAGTCTTCTATCACAGAAAAAGTGCACAACTTAAAGAACATATAATCTTTTGGCAATCAAGATCATCAGAATATGTAATTCAACTTTAGTATGGAGGTAGACTAGTTATACAATATCATGGCATCAGAATAGTCACAACAGCTCAATGTTTTTAGCTTATTGTTTCAGGACCTTCATTATATTTCAAAAGTATGCAGTCACCATGGCTTTAGGAATGGACAGTAAATATTAACCTCTTTGTTCGGTAAATCCACTCTTGAAGTTTAAATCAAATGGGTTTTGCCAATTTATCTAATATATGAGTAGAGCAGCTTCTATTGATCCCATGTTATGCAGAACGGAAATGTGTGGATTCTAGTAAGGAGAACCTGAGACCAGGATCTCCTATATTTTAAGTGTAATGTTGTGTTCACTGATTGAAGCTTCATCTGCTGGTACATGCAGGAATCGGTTTGTGAAATGAAAAGGTCCATCGAGTCCAGAGATAGAAAGATTACCATGCTTTCTGAGAAGATAAATGCTGACATACTATCATTTGACACAATACAAAAGGAGGCATCCTTTGTCAAGCAAGTAGTGGATAATGCACAAAGTGTGGTCAATGAGAAAGAGGAAGTAGGCATGTCTTCCCTGAATAATTTTGTATTTCAACTGTATGGTCAATTGCTCATATGACCAATGGATAGTTGATACATTTACTTGAATGCAGCATATTTTGAGTCTCTGTTAATTCCTCTTGCAATTCTCAGTGGCTCGATTAAAAACAGAAATGGACAAGGTATGTGCATTAGAGAACTTATTCATTGGTACTGCAGTTGTTTCAGTTCACTTCATTTATTTTATTTCTTTTTTGTGCAAAGCCAATCATTACTACCATGCTTGTAGGTACTATAATAGCATCGACATGCTACTTGGTCTATGGGTCACTGGTTGTAAAATATGAATGTCTTTGTAAAGGTTGAGTCACAAAATATACTAAATCACTATATCTGGCACTCAGAGTGTGTTTGTTTATGACAACATATCAACTGTTGAAGGAACTTTTTATTCTTGTTAGGATTTGTAGGAGAATTAATTGGGTATGATTAAGAAATGAAGATGGATAGAGAGGGAGAGACTGAAGGTTATCTGTTAATTGATCTAGTTAATTGGTTACAACAAAAGAAAACCATATATATATATATATATACATTATAGCCTTTAGACCATATACAAAAGGCATATTTGATATAACATATTCTAACATTTTTGTTTTGTGCAGAAAAGATCAATGACCTTGAAACTGAACTCGAAAGTAATGAAATTGAGTTAAAGAGAAAGGGTAGGGTAATTACAGAGTTCCCGATACAGCTAGAGACGACAAAAATAACTGATCAATGCCAATCAAAGATAGAGGAGATATCCATACCGTCTTTATTGTAAATGTTGGACTAAGCTTCCAACCAGAAATGTCGATTTGCCTTAACCAACCTTACCTTCAGGAAACAGTACTAGTGAAAGAAGGGTTCATACAGACTTTAACTTCAGAGAACAAAGTATGCACTAAAGGCAGTTTATTCTCTTTTTTACAATATAGTTTCCTCTACAGTGCCCGTACTTTGTTTTTCAATTTCTCAGGCCTTGCTTTCTGAACTAGGGACGATGGAAGTTACTGTTAAGCTGATTCAAGACACTATGGTACGTATGGATGAAGAGATCAAAGAAAATGGGATCTCTTTCTTGCTAATAATTACTTAATTTGTGATGCTATCACAAAGTTATAGATTTTTCTCAATGATCTACATAACCTGTCCATAACAACTCATGTCAGCTATGACTAATACATTCTTTTCATGCAGGATGGAGTTGGTTCCTCCATAATGTTGACAAACCAAGAAAAATATGCTTTTGACCTTTGGATTTGAACCTGGGACCTCCTGATATTTTTGACCTTTGGAGCCAAGCTCAAACCAATCAGGCACCACCCTTGTGGTTGCATTATGTATGTATTGTGGTCATATGCAAGGGGCAAATAGATTTGTTCCATAAAAAATCCCAAAGGACAAGATAAGAGTACCGATGTTTGTCTGATCGGATGTTATCGGCCTTTTGAAATCCCAAATATCTGGACACAGAAACTGAACTGCTATCTAGTAGTTGCTCTTCTCATGTTAACTGGTATTGGAAAAGCAGGACCAATCATGATATCAGGGACTGAGAAGCAAGCTCTCATCATGAAGCTTGTAGAGCAACTGTTGCAGAAATTACAGGTATATCGTATATGTACTTCATCCTTTCCTCCTTAGCTTAGTCAATAAGACTAATGGTTCTTTCATCTCATCTGTATTATAAGCACATAGATAGATAGACATATGCACATATATGGGTTGGAAATTGGAAATGTAAGTGTTACATAAAACTCCATTTTTTGATCTTTGAATAGGAAATTTTAAGTTAAACGAATTTTATTGTGTTCGAGATCGACCCGAACTCGTTAATAATTAAGCTCGAAGTCGAGTAGCTCGTTAACAGCTCAAATCATTTAAACCCCCTAATCTTAGGGCATCTCCAACGGATTCTCCAAAATGGAGAATCAAAAGTCAAAATCTCTAAAAAAGTTTATATCCATCTCCAACAGCTTCTCCGTTTTGGAGATTACTTTATGAATGATATTATTAAAATATTTAATCTCTTATAAAATATTATTTCTCTCTTTTATACATTTAGTTTCAAGGATTCTCATTGGTATGTAGAATAAAAAATAAATTATCTTTCACAAACAATCATTTTTAGCCTCTTTTAATTTTCACCCCTCTCTCATGTTTTCTTTATTTTGGAGAAGATTTTATAGCATCTTCAACAAATTCTCAAAAATGAATAAATAAAACATCAAAATCTTAAAAAAAAAAATTATATCATAATAATCATTTTTAGAGAATTTTTCGAATTTTGAGAATTTCATCATCTCTTTCATACTTTCTCCATTTTAAATAAAGTTGTATAGAATCTGTTGGAGTAAAAATCTCTAATTTAAAGAATCCGTTGAAAATGATCTTAAAAAATCTGTTAAAACAAAAATTCTAAAATTTAAATTTTAAAAAAAATATATTAAAGATCTTTTTAACGATCAAAATTGGTTCAATAAACTCTTTGTATGAACCCAAGTAAGGTCGTTGCCCAGGTCAGTGTAAGAACGTCAAAATGGCCGGCCCCCTTGTTACCGTTTGTCGTTATTTTCATAGCCCACAAGGATGAATAAAAAAGTCGATCAACAACACAACCACTAAACGACAAAAATTGCGTCCAACAAAGAGCATTTCTCATCATTCCACGTGGTAATCAGAGACTGAATTCCATCTTTATTATTATTTATGGTTGTAATAAAAAGAAAAATTATTTGGTGAGCGGTTGCTTTGAAGAACGCTTTCGTTGACTTTTGTCGTTTGTGTGAACAATCCAAGTTGGTTAATCGAATCTTGTTTTCGTCTCTTTGATGTGTATATATATATTTTCAGATTTTGTTAAATGAAATTGTAAGGAAGATATTTATCGATAGTGGTTTTAAAATTTATGGATTTAAAATGATATTTGAGATTGTTTATTTAAAATAACTTATATTTTTTATAAAAGTCTTTGTCAACTTATTATAAGTTAAAATAATTTAATTTTTTTAAAAACTTTTATTATCGGTTTGGCATATGTTTATCCAAACACTCAAAAGTGCTTATTATCGATATTACATCGAAATAAGTCAATAATTTTTTTTATAAGCAATTTCAAACACTTCATAATTAGTCAAAAATAAGAAAGAAATCAAGTTATCAAGAGATATATTAGTCGTCTTCAAAAATGGGTTTCTCATTGGATTTTATATTATTTACAAATAAAAATGTAATTATTACTTTATTGCAAGTTAAATTGAGAATTTGTGACCTCTAAATCGAGATTCGAACTTCTCCGCGTTTTATTGGTGCGGGGTTTCACCGGTTTGTTTTCGATTTTTTTTTTCTCGCCACCACCACCAATCATAGGTACATCCCCACACTCATGCATATATATATAGAGAGAGAGAGAGAGAGGGAGAGAGAGAAATTGAAGCTGCAGTTGGTGGACTATCTTCATCTTCTGTTGATTGCACTTAAAATGCCGTAATTTGATACGTGGGGAGATATATATAGATCCTAAAAGTACATATATACATACATATAGTGAGAGAAAGAGATAGAGANGGGGGGGGGGGGGGGGGATGGGAGGTTGCGTGTCGAGGCCGGAGAATTGCGTCGGAGGTGGAATAAAGAAGTCGTCGTGGTCGAAGAAGAAAAGGAAGTCGAGGAAAGGTCTGAAACGGCGTGTATCTTCTCGTTTGTATGATCAACCAAACTCCGTCAATCCAACTTCCCACGGTTCTACTTCTCTTCTACAATTATTTATTATATTCCTCGAATTTATGTATTCTGGTTGCATTTTAATTGAATTTCAGGCATCTTTATATATGAATAAACTATTAATGATATATATGTATATGTATATGTATATATATATATATATATATATATATATATTTTAAGGAATAAATTGAAGAAACATGACTTAGAGTTGTTTGTTTATGACTTAGAGATGTTTGTCTACCTCTTAATAATTCCATTAAGAAATCGTTAAGAAGTGAATCTTGTTTGGCAAAAAAAAGCTGCCTGGTTCTAAAACCATCTGAATTGTTATGCATCTTGGACCCCTTGACCATTCAACATCCTAATTTCATTATAAACAATTACCAAACAATTATATTTCATTTTACATTGTATCATAAGAGCTTATTAATCATTCCGACCACTTAATTATTCTGCACTAAACCATTCAACAACTATCAAACAGCCTAGTACTAAAATCTCTGAGTTAACTTGTTAGATGTCCACTCTTCTAGTGAAGTTCTTCATATTAAATAATACTTTTTTGGAACAAAACCGAAATCCAAAAAAGGGAGCGAAATTAATTTATATGTTGATTACGATTCTTTTAAGACAAGAAATGATTTCATATTATGATTTTTATACTAATTTGTACTGTTGGATCACATTTTGAGTCTAATTTTGATACCAAAAGCCCCAAGTTAGGACCTATGGAATAGCTGGGAAAAAAGGGAAGGTTCTAACTTGAATCATTGAAAAAAATCTATTTGAAATGCATATGTGAATGACTTTGCAGAGTGTTCACGTACGCATCTCCAAATAGATTTTCTTAACTATTCACATATGAACCTTCCCTTATGACGATGTTTAACTATGGTCCATATAACATTCATTTGATCAGCTTGAAATGGAGCATTTTGTTGGTTGCATGTAAACAGTTCCATTTTGATGTTTATTCAGTGTTATAACACTCATAAACAAGTGAAAGTTCCATAGTCAGTTTTAGATGAAGACTTGATTCATGATTACTTGCGTGCCTAGCGTTACTATTTTCATTGCAATTCAAGTAGTTACGCATAAATTTATAATTTCTATGGAGATTCTTACCTTTCTTTCTGATTAGTGTAGTATGTTTCCTTATAGTTGGCTCACTCAGCTTTTACTTTTTGGCACTAGTAGGGAGCACTGATGAACTTTGGTATGATTCTGCAACAATTCTTGAATCTGACAGTGGTGATGAAGATTTCCATAGCGTTCTCAATGGTGATATTTCTGCAGAGATATATAATGACATGGGAGGTTGAAATGAAAATCGTAAATATTTTGATAACATGGGAACCAACTATTCGTGCTATATTCATGATGATTGTCATGATAGATATTTATGATGAATAATATAGGAATAATTAGTTTAAGGGTTCTCAAAATATTTATGGTTTTCATTTGAACTTTCGTCATTAAAGAAATGCATGTGTTTAGTAGCTTAACTTCATCTTATGAATGCATATGTTCACAGATGTGCAGTCTCTAGATGGCTCAGAAGGTGTCTCCTGGCCGAACATTGAGGTTCATAGAAGTTCAGTGCATCCAGAAGACATGGCATTCCAATCAAGATGTGGTAGGCCTCTGAATGAAATCAAGCCTGTTTATCTTGATGAGATATCATCTTCTATAAATGAAAATTGTGGAAGGGAGAATAATAGTTTGTTGGATTTTGTGGAATAATTCCTAGCAATTGTTTGCCTTGTCTTGCTGCCACAGATACATCATTTGAGAAGAGATCTTTAAGCTCTAGCCCATCAACCACAAGGAAAAAGGCTGCACACAAGTTGTCCTTCAAATGGAAGAATGGACATCCTAATGCCACTACCGGTGCGTACTTTCACTAACGTTAAAAAGCATTTAGTAGCATTAGAATCACATATGAAAGCATTGAAAAAGTGTTTGATGTTTATTACCTTGTTAACTAAGGGGCCGTTTACCAAACACTTACCGGGTAAGCATGGCAAGGACCAAGAATCTTACCAAGAAAGTGAGAGAAAACTCTTACCCAGTTACTGCTTACCGGGTAAGAGACACTTATCAACAATCTATTTTAATGGCTGTGAATGCTACCCATAAGGTAATTGAGGGTGGTGACTTCTTGCCGATAAGCGCTTACTTGGTAAGTGTTTGGTAAATGTCCCTAAACAATGTGTAACAGTGAGGAGTTGGCATAGTGGATAGGATTTTTTTTAGTATGTCTCATGTTGGAATCCTGCTGGTGCTATCAATTCCTATGTGGAACCTCATTGGATTAATCTGCAAACGAGCTTTTGAGGAGAGAAGGGTGGTTCCAACTTATATTAAAGAGAAATGGTCTAAAGTCTTGCGAATGTGGGACTCCAACACCCCCTCCCCCTGAGGCTAGGTAGACACATATCGTCCAGAGTGTGGAGAGGGGAATAGACGGGCTCCCAGAGTGTCGAGTCCTTAGAGTGGTGGGGAATAGACGGGCTCCCAGAGTATCGAGTCCTTAGAGTGGTAGACGTCGGCACTGATACCATGTGAGAATAGGTGAAACCCTATTAAATTACTCTCCAAAAGAACCATTAAGGAGAGAAGGGAGGTTCCAACATATATTAAGGAGAAATGATCCTAGTCTAGCCAATGTAGGACTCTTAACACCTGTTTTTGTCCAGAAAGCCTAAAAGTTGCTCGAGCCACGTGAAGGGGATGCTTTGTATAACCCATAGTTCATACATGATACGCCGAAATTTAACACAGTTTCTTATCTGCTTCTAGTTTCTTCAAAGATGCATATACAACGGCCTATTGCTGGTTCGCAAGTACCCTTCTGCCCGATAGAGAAGAAAATGCTTGATTCTTGGTCATATATTGAACCTCAAACTTTTAGAGTACGAGGGAAGAATTATCTGAGGTAATCATACGAATTTATGCAAACATACGATCAATCTGTGCTCGTGGCTAAGACACTTTATCTTTATGCCGACCCCTATCATTTACAGGGACAAAAAGAAGGAGCATGCTTCTAATTACGCTGCTTATTACCCGTTTGGTGTTGATGTGTTCTCATCTCAGAGGAAAATTGATCACATTGCGCGGTTTGTAGAACTCCCTTCTGTTGGTTCTGTTTCTGCAGAAGTCCCATCCATTCTTGTTGTAAATGTCCAGGTATTTTTACTTTTTCCATAATAGTCTCATACGATTGATGGATATTGTTGGAGTCCACATCGTCTAAACTTGGATAATTTTTCCTCGATATACGTTGGAACCTTTTCGCTCAATGTTTTTTTGAAGAGTAATATAATGGGGTTCTACATATTCTTACATGATATCAAAGCCCATGTCTACCACTAGTAACTTGACACTCTAGGGCAATCTCTACCCCTAGCTCGCTCTTTACATTTTGGGACAACCCCTTGAGGAGAGAAGAGCTCTTTTGGAGAGTAATCTGATGGGGTTCCACATATTCTCACATGGTATGAGATCCATGGTCTACTCCTATAGTAGCTCGACACTCTGAGGCAATCTCTACCTCTTTACCCCCCTCTCGACACTTTGGGACACCCCCTTCTCTCCTCAGGGGCTCTTTTTGGTGAGTAATTTGATGGGTTCTACATTCTCACATGGTAACAAAGCCAAGGTCTACCACTCCAGTAACTCGACGACCTGGGGAAATATCTACCCCTCTAGCCCCCTCTCGACTTTTTAGACAACCCCCTTTTCTCCTCAAGAGCTCTTTTGGAGAGTAATAGTAATCTGATGGGGTTTCACATATTCTTAACTATATTTCATTAATAACCAGAAACAGATTAATAGTTCCCATTATGTCTTTATCTTTTATCGGTCTACAGATTCCATTGTATCCTGCTGCCTTTTTCAGAGGGGAAATTGATGGAGAAGGAATAAGTTTCGTGTTGTACTTTAAACTTTCTGATGGTTACTCAAAGGAACTATCTTCTCAATTTCAGGATAACATGAGAGTAAGCCTTTGATGCATTCATCATTGCTCGAAATATAATTACTGCACATACATCAACTTATTTATTTAATTACTTTATAACAGAGGATACTTGATGATGAACTAGAAAGGGTCAAAGGTTTTCCTGTAGATACACTTATACCATGTCGAGAAAGGTTGAAGATATTGGGACATGTTGTAAATATAGATGATCTTCAGTTGAATGCACCAGAAAGGAAGCTTATGCATGCTTACAATGGAAAACCTGTGCTTTCACGTCCACAGCATGAGTTCTACCAAGTGAGTTTGTGTTTTCTAATAAGTTTTGGTCCACAGACTACCAAAAACAGAACTTGCAAATTGTTTTTCATCATTATAATAGTGACTAAAGTTCCATTTTAAAATGTCATTAATTTAGGGAAAAAATTACATTGAGATAGATCTGGATATGCACAGATTTAGTTGCATCTCCAGGAAAGGGTTTGAAGCATTCCAGGATAGACTGAAAGACTGCATTTTGGATTTTGGCCTTACAATTCAGGCAAGTGTTTTCTCATTAGAACAACATTACAATACTGTGTTCTTTCCTTTCTTTGTTTTACATATTTGTGCACCCCTTCCCTAAGAATAGATTCCACCTTTATAATCTGAAGACAAACTTTTGGAGAACTTGCCCATGATTAACAAAACGAATCTCTATTCAATCTCTTAAGAGGAAGAGAAATTTAGGAACATCAAGATTGTGTTGGAGTCCCAAATCGGCTAGACTTAGACCATTTCTTCTCGATATATGTTGGAACGGGCGGTCTTTCCTCAAGGGCTCTTTTGAAGAGTAATCTGATGGGGTTCTACATAATGTAACATGATATCAGAGCCAAGGTCTCCCACTCTAGGGACTCAATACTCTGTGCCCGTCTTGCCTCTGTTGGAGGGGGCTTGTTGGAGTCCGACATCGGTTAGACTTGAATTATTTATTCTTAATTTAAGTTGTAACGTTAATTCTCTCCTCAAGCGCTCTTTGATAATCTAATGGGGTTTTACATATTCTTAGTGTGTTTAAGTGTTAACATTAAAATATTGTAGGATTGAGTGAGCAACTCTTTTGAGCTCAGGAAATTGTTGGTAACTTTTATTTACTGTAATGCAGGGTAACAAACCAGAGGAGTTACCAGAGGAAATCTTATGTGGTGTGAGGTTAAATGGTATCGACTACAAGAATTATCACATGCTGGGGTTAAATCAGGAGCCCTCATCCCCATGATACTGTTACTTATAGAGAACTTCCCTTTACAGTGTGGTCAGGTATCATTCATGCTTAAGCATAACGTGGTTTTTCCCCCACAATTAGGGGGGAAAGATGAGAGGCTAAAATGAAACATATGAATGGCAGAAGCCCAAATGATGGTAATCCACTTTTTGTGGTTTACTCAAAAGTCTCAGCTATGGAAAGCGTATTGCACTCTAAAGAAGGAAAGAAACTCTCTGAGACTTGATAATATGCGACTAATTTGACTGATGTTCTGGATCAAAACCAAAAAATTTATGTCATGGATGATGGCATTTTTTCTTTCTTGTAAATGATACAACATTATCAAACACCATACCATCTCCTTTGAGGTTGTGGTCCTTTTCTATATGGAGATAGCGATAGGATGTATAAATGGAAACGGGGATTCAAACTCTATAGCTTTAGAATACATGGAGTTTCTAGATCTCAGACCTTCAAACTACAATGATCAATTATTTTGTTGGGATGTAAGGAGTATGCATGATGCCTTTAAATTTTTGAGCAATTGACTTTTCAAATCTATGTTACAAAGAAAACATCATTTTTCTTGTGAAAAACAAAAACAACATTATACTTTACAAGAATAAACAATTTTGAACAACAAATTGATAATTTTCTGCATTTATATTTCTATAATTCGTCTAAACTCACCCACTCTTCGGAAGTATAACTCTATTCAGTTTGTATTTTTCCAAACTACTTTAATAATTATTAAATCTATTGCCATTTAACATAACCAGGAAGCAAGTTAAAAGTAATTCATTATCACCTGTGTTTTAAGTTGTAAATATACATGGCCTCTGCTGTTTGGAGTAATTGGCAAGAGAACACCCTCTCAAGTCTCAACATTTGAAGGATCCAGGTTTAGGCCCATTCAGGATCTTGCTAGAGTTGGGCTACACAAGAAAGGGAGAAAATCAAAACCTTAGTAACTTGAACCAAGAGTAGTTGACTTTCCAAACCATTAGTCGGCGAGTTTTCATGTCAAAAAGCGGTTGTTTTCACAAAAATAAGAAAAACATTTTTTTGCATTTATTTTTTCAAAGGTTGTCCTAGATTTTGCTTATTCTTGCAAACCATGGTGTTCTTTTTTGTGGGTATTTTCTAGTAGAAAATGTGATTCAACGAGTCAATTGCTCTTCAGGCTAATAAATTACTTGAGATAGGGCAAACCGACTAATACCAGTTGTTTGTGGGTGAAGATGAACTAGTTACTCATGAGATACTGACGACAAAGATCTTGCTGGCATGGAAGCTGTGGGACTTGTAGCTTCTACATTTTCAATGGTGGCGTTTCCATTCAACATCTTGATTGCAGTTTGAGCAACATCAACAAACCATTGATCCTCCGGTAATGTGCTGCTAAAATCGAAAAAAAAAAGAAGTCTTGTAATAGCAGATCCTTGAATTAATGGCTTTAGGCATGAAAGTAAAAAAAAGAACCTGTTGGGATCTATATTGGCTGCAGCGACCGAATCCATAACTCTTGAGATGATATTCTTGATAACTTGATGTAGATTCCGTGATAAGTAACGCCCTTGAGAGGCAAAGAGGATAACAAACTGCATGTCCAGATAAAACTGCATAGAGTAAGACCACCAAAAGGAACACCTGTTAAACTCGGAAAGACCTGGCTGCAAATAGGAACACAAGGCTCGAGCATTTGTTAATCTTTTTGCAAACATGATTAGAGAGATGCATATAACGAGTGGGATCCACCCTATAAGTAACGAATGTATGATCTCTTTTGCTACTAGTCTTCTTTATCCTACCTGTTATTACAACGTGAGGTGCAAGTGTTGAGCAGTTCCTACACTGCAGAACTTGTTGATGCTAAATCAAACCAAACCAAACCAAACCAAACCACAACCAACAAGCCCAATATATCCCACCCGGAGTTGGGATCTCGAGAGGTGGGGATGTATGCAAACTTGGTCTCTACCCTAAAGAATGGAGAAGTTGTTTCGACCACCAACTAGTGAAAAGTGTGAGAATTGGAGAAAAACATATATGCTAAACTTTGAACATGTAATGAATAAGTGAAATACAAATAGGATTCGAAATAGAGAAAGGAAAATGTGCTATAAATTTTGAGAAACTAGATATAAGTAAGCAACATCAATATAAAAAAGAAGCAATAGCAATGAACTACTAAGAAAGGATCCTATCATGGGATTTTATATAAAGGAAAGTATAGGACAAAGAAAGAAAGAAACCTGTCGAAGTCCAAAAGGGCCTAAAGGCTTTGATCCATGTTCAATCGCTTCCCAAAAACTTTGTTCATCAGAAAGCCATAAAGTTATTGTTTCTGTGAGTCTGATTAAAAGAAGGGTGGTAAACCTTTCTCTTCCCACGAACATGTCCGATGCTAAGATTGCGAGCGTATTCAACTTAACAAACAGTTCCTGGTAAATCAATTAGGAACCTATATAAGATACCAAAAATTTCTTAAACCATGTGACTGTCTGATAAATCCAGGTGGGGGGATAGGTACAACATCCATTCCAAAAAAGGAAAACAAGAGTTAATTTTCAACTTTCAGATTAATATGAACTTAAATTCTGAAAAGCAATGATGGCTAGTGAAAGTTAAAATCCATATTTGTTTTGAATTGTTCTGATCTCAAAAGTCAAAATGCACCTTCTTTGGAGCAGATAATTCCTTTACCTGAAATACAGTAGATGGGAACCATTCTGGCTCTTCTGAATTTTCATCCATACTCAAATACATTTGTGCATTAATACGTGCACTGCCATCTTCTGTAAAGATGAGTTCAAGGGCATGTTCTCTGCAAAAGCTATCTCTCAACTGATCAACAAATCGCTGAAGCCGTTTCTTTAATTCTCTTTGCTCTGGGGTACGGAGTTGTCTGTCTGAAGCTTTCCTAGGGGTTTCAGTGGGAAGACTGTGTTGTAAAGGCAACAGCTTGATGGCTGCTCGGGGGAGTAGCTCATCCGATAACAATAACGCATTAGCTAGCAAGGCTATCTGCTGAGCTTCATCCTCTGCCTTTCTGACAATTCTACCTTCCAAGTTCTCAGTATCTGATGAACCGGGTAACGCATTTACTAGCATGTGAACATATGAATTAAAAACTTGTACAAGACCTTCCATGGCCTGTCTGGAAAACTGCAAGGACCTAAGGAGTCCAATATCCTCGCACATTTCCTGGTATTGTGATCCAAATCAATGCAAATAATAGGATCTAGAGAAGTTTCAGGAAGTATGCTTTGAACTCTGAAGTCAAACTAGTTTTTCATATTTAAAATTGAAAATGCTTTGTCACCAACATTTGTTTATGTAAAGTTTGCTTCAGTCAACAATTTTATCTTAAAGTTTGAAGAACTTGTACCAACTTCGAACTTGAAAATAGTCTATTTGACCCTAAAGTCATATTGTGCCTCTATGTAGAAACTGGAAAGTATCAGGCAAAGTAATATCACCTGAACCATCACATGAAATCTGTGGGCGCTACTTGAAAGCTTTGGCTGGGATGTGACCAAGCTTCCAAGAGAAGCAGTACTACCAAGAGAGCGTGAACCGACAGGTGAGAAATTGAGTGACCAGTCATCTGCAGCTGCTAAAGCAGCAGTGCTTTGCTCGATCCTTTTCAAGTTAGCATTCAGTGCTTGTTCGATACAAGGCCTAAAATGTCTCAAAAGGACAGGAGCAAGTGCCAATCCACGAGCTTCTAAAAGATAACAATGACCCATAGAAATCTGAACACACTCGGCTACGGTTCGTAGCCCCCCTGAAGCAGAGGGTGAAGCAATGACGCGTCTCTTCATAAGATGTGCGAAAGCGTCGGTCTGCTTAACAGACCAAGTCACAAGTTCAGATGTGTACAAGGGTTGATCACCAAATATGGCCAATGAATCACTTGATGCCTGAGCTATGATTGAAAAGACGAGCTGTGAGAGGGCAGCGGTGTAAGCCACTCCATATGTTGAGCCTGATGTCTGAAGACCCTGGATTTTAGATTCTAACTTCTGGTGGTGCGAGTTAAGCAGCAGTGTATGGGCTCGTGGACCATCACCAAGTTGTTTAATTGTTTCTACAGCTGATCGAAGTTCAATACCACTAGAAGAAGGTTGGCAGGCAGACACAGCAAGTTGGTCTGCTAATTTTTGTCTTTGGTCAATGATAGTAGCCTGTAATGAAGAGAGCATCAATGCTGTCATTGACCCTGCGGATTTTTCTTCCTTTGCTACACGTTCTCCTTCATCAAGGGCAACCAAAGCTTCATCCACTCTTCTCTCAGCTAGTAGGATATGCAGGTTCTCTGTGTATTGCGACAACCAAACTTCCTTCTCTGAAGGTTCTCGACCTTCAGTGTCAGAACTATCCTTTTTCCTCGAACCAGGACCAGAAGACATGGATTCCACCCTAGAACCATCCGCTAGAGTCTGAATGATAGTCGCACGGTTATTTAGAAGATTCCTTAAGGCGACTAGTTGCCCCTCAAGATCAGAAATCTCCCTTGATGTGCTGTATATGTGAAAAAATATCACAAATCTGTCAACATTCTATAAATATATTCTAGCATTCTTTCATGTCATCTCTAGCTAATGCAGGGCACAACCATTAAAACCAGTAACAATCTTATTATATCAATGCGTTAAAGACATTGATATAATTTTTTTGAGTATACTGTCATAATTAGAACTCCAAATAAACGTCCACATTGATCTGTCTCCTTACCGAATAAAGGAGGGGTAATTAGCATAAACACTTTTTCTCATCTCTTCTGCCGAGGCCTTCTTTAGATCTAGAAGACAAGTCACCAATTGCTTTATTTCCTGCCAATTACACAATTCCACGGGATTGGAGATACATACTTGATTCAGACAACTTAGTAATTTTTTATCGTTTCTGCAGTGTGTATCATTCAACTTAGTAAGAAGAACTTTTACAGCTATTGCAACCGCTCTACTTTTCAATTTCAAAATTATAATATATGTCTTAGATCTTATATGAAAATGACAACCAAATCACTAATTTTATTACAAAGTTCTGTTTACTCAAAATTGTTTTTACAAATTCATTCTCAATAAATTTGCAAAATTCGTAAGGTAACACACGAAATTCGAACACATAGATGGTGTTCTACATTGACAAAGTTCATTGATACAGCCGTACAGGAAATCAATACGGACTTTAAGCCATACTATATCAGTTTTATCAAACCTAGCATGTTAATGAAGGCGAATCCTTCAAATGAATTTGGTGTAAAACAGTCACGATAAACTACTAAATTTATACCTTTTCGCTCGTTGTGCGGCATTTGGTAGATACATAATCTTCCGGATCGAAACCAGAAGTCTTGAAGACTTTAAGCTTTTCACCGAGCGTTACCTCCTGGCCGAAATCCAGATCGCCGGCGCTCGAAGAGAATGTTCCTTCAGGTAACGACATTTTTCTTTCCTTTCTTCTTTATCTTCTCTCCCCTCCTTATTATGATTAGATTAATTTTACACACACAAACACGTAAAATGGCCTCGTCAGGAGGCAACGCAAGAACTCTAGAGGGAGAAACGATGGATGTGATTGACGTGGATCTGCACCGGAGATGGTTGTGAATTGACGACGATTGGAATTGGTCTGTTATGAGTATGCAAATTGAAAACTGATTTGCAAACGTACGACTCGCTCAGTTTTCTATTTACAAATTGACCCCTGAACTATGTATAATTTTATTAATAGATCCAAAGTTGTAATATTTTCATTAAGGTCTTTATTTGGAACTTTATTTTTCAAAAGACATCCTTCCATCCTTTTTTCCCTATATATAAAACTATATGTAATCACATTGATGTTATTTGGACAAAAGGTTGATTACTGATAACTTCAATTGGTCCCATATGGACCCGCCTCCAAGAACAATAATATGAGAAAACATTTTTTGTCTCACTCATCGGCCGAGGCTAGCTGACTTCAGGGGAAGTCTGCAATCAAACTCAGGACCTGCCTTGTTACGATCTAGATTAAATCTACGACTTGTCTTGTTATTGAGCTAGACGCCATAGTCCATATCAGTAACTTATATTAGATTATGCAATTAATGAATTATTTTGATTTTTGGATAGAAGAAATGTTTGCATACATCTTATCATAAACTCTATATTTAAATGAGATATATTAGTTCATTTATTTTTAGTTTTCTATATCTGATACGTAAAGTAATTGTATTTAAAGAGTAATTAAAAACCATAGAATTTAATGAATGAGTAGATGAAAGTTCGGTTATAAATAGGTTTTTTAATTATTGTGAACTACGAGATAAAGGAGCACACAGAAGTGTCTTCATTTGTTGTCATTCATCATGAACTTTTACGACATTCAACATAAATAATGCAACATTCATGATAAATATCCCATCAATGTACAAGACATCACATATGCTCTTATTTATCCTCACGTTCATAAAGTAACTTAAGGTGTTGTTTGTTGACCTCTTAACAGTTCCATTAAGAGACAACTTCTGAATGTTAAGAGGTGAATCTTGTTTGACAAAAAAAATGTCTCTTAATGATTCTAAAATTCACTAAATAATTTTGTATCTTGAGTATCTTTTAACCATTCAGCCCCCTAATTTCATTCTTAATAATTAGTAATATAGTTCAATTAGAAATTACAAAATTTGTATTTATTATCGACTTCGGAAGAATCAAAGGTAGAAAAAGAAGGGTTATACATTGATTCCCCATTTTGCCCTTAAAGGATTATTGTATTTCGATTCATAATTGCATGACCATGTTTATGAAAAGTTTAATCACTTAGAAAAGAAATCACACCCACACGAAGCTAGCACCCCATAATCTTGTTGGCCTTTTTCTTAGGCTTCTCCGCCACCGTGCCATCGTTTCCGGCGAGTGCTCGGTACTTGTCCTTGCGAGTAAACGCCGTGCATTCATAAGAAAGTGTGGCGGCGATGACCCTTTGTATGTAATTAGCCACCTCATGGCTAGACTTGCCGGAGCTGCAAGTCAACTCCAACGGTAACTTGTTCAGGAAGGTAACTTCATAAGCCGGACTAGGGTTCATAAAGAAGTAAAAAGGGTCCATTCCTTTCCACCCTCTCGCGGTGGTGCCGTGAAACATGCTCATCTTGTTGACCATCGCCACCGGCACAAGGTGGTCGGTCAACTCTGCAAACATGGCGGAGAATCGTAGTAGAAACGGCTCCCGACAAGTGGTGCCTTCCGGGCAGATAACTAGGTCGCCTTCTTCTAGAAGCTTCTTGATCATGGACGCGTCCGTGGCTCGGTCACGAGTCAACCGAACGGTCTTGATCGGGGAGATGATCTCGGAGAGACGAGAAACGGAATAGGTCACGGCGGGGATGGGGCGGCCGAGGGCAGTGGACAGGAAGATGGGATCGAGGAGAGTACGATGGGAGCAAATGAAGAGGACACCGGTTTGGCCGGAGGATTTCTTGACCGGGGGCGGAGGGGTGCCCTTGACGGTGACACGGACACCGAGGGCCCAGAAGGCGTAGTATACTAGCGGCATTGGGAGGAGTGCGCCGGCAGCGATACGGAGGCAAGCGAGGATAAAGCCGATGGGGATCCATAAGACGGTGAGGAGGGCCATTATGGGTTTCGGTTTCTGGACCAAACGACCGTCGTGGAACACTATGGGCTTCGGTAGCTTGTCGTTCGACACGGCCTTCACTTCCGGATTGTATGGCACCATATAACCCTCCTATAAAGAAATATAAAAAATAGTTAAAATACATATTTTAAAACATCATTCATAAATCTTTTATAATATAAATTCTTTATATCACTTACCTTGCATAGTGCCATGAAGGGAAGGTCAGTGTCTCTGTCACCAAGTCCAATTTCGGGTGGACTGTCTCCAAATTCTTTACGTAAAGCCTTTGCTTTCTGCTCAGCCACAAGCACGCCTGGACTAAGCACAAAACCAGTGGCTCTACCTTTATAAGTTCCAATCTCAGTCCCCAAAATCACATCAGTTCCCAAAAACTCCTTCAGAAATCCCTCCACCATAACCCTAGGGTTCGCAGTGAGCACACACCGCTTCCCACAAGCCGAGAACACCCGCCACGATTCAGGATGGAGATCACTCGAGTAAAATTTCGGCAACACTGCTCGACCCACCGACTCAATGTCGGAAACCTTCATCCCAGCATAGGTGGCAAAAATAAGAACCTGAATTCCAGCAGACTCCGATATAAAATAATACAGCAGTCCAGCCAGTGGGGCTGACAGGAGCACCATAAGAAGCCTTAGGCATCCACCAGCCTCAAAAGCAACCAACGCAAAGTAAGGGAAAGAGCTACGACCTCTCAACAAAGTCCCGTCCATATCCGCCACCACCGTATGATTCTCCCGCCCGTTCGAGTCGCACGTCTCGACCGATGGAAACTTCATACAATCAGACATTTCGGATTTTTATTGAAAGAGTAAAAAACTTATTGAAATTTTAAGTATTGGAGTTATGTATGTATATATATACATGCATATATAAAACATGTGAATGGGACAAAAGTTCAAACATAAAGAGCAATGTTTCATAGTTTACAACGAAAAAAGTCGTAAGTGACAACTCCGGTGGGTGATAACAACACATCAAGTATTCTTGTTCTTGTTGGTTACCTTTTTTCCTTAGAGCCCAACGTCAAATACTTTCAATTTAATTACTTTATTTCAAAAATTAAAATTAAATATTTTCAATTTAATTTCTTTATTTCAAAACTAAAATTTTAAGGAAAAAGGTATAAATAATAATGGGTATTTGTGATGCAATGATTAAAACTAGGGGTGCTCAAAAAACCGACCAACCTGAGGTAATCCGACACGTAATTGATACAAAATTAGGTCAAACTAAAAACTCAAAAAACTCAATTGAGGTAACATGACACGTAATTAATACAAAATTAGGTTAAATTGCATCTATTGGGTTGTAACTGGATTAGGGACGTTTGAACTCAATCTAACTCGATGAACTTGATGTCTTTCTAAAATATGGATTTAATTAATATATGTACATTCGACATTAGACAAACCTGTAATTGACTATATTCAAAATTATATTACAATTTCAACTCTAACTTTTTACTTTCTTATTTGCAGAAACTTTCAACTTTCTTTTAAGTTTGTTAGCCTTTTTGTATGTTTTCATTTTGATTGTACTTCGTTTAAACAAAAACACTTAGCTAGATTGTAAACTGATGTACCAAAGTTTTAACTCGACCAACTTAACCCAACCCAACTCGCACGGTTTCAGTCGAATTGGATTGAGATTTTTTAGACCGCAAACATTGGCTTAAGTTGTTCAAATGTCTTCAACCCAACCAACACAGCCCATGTGCAACCCTAATTTTGCTTGAATGGTGGAGATTTTATAAAAAGAAACTAGCAAGAAGCTAGAAAAACAAATTACATATAAGAGATAGCAAGAAGGGGGGGGGGGGGTTTATAACCATGTGCATCCCTAATTAAAACCAAATTTTTTCGACCAAACGATTATCGTCGAGATTAGTCGTTGCAAACCCAACTTTCGACATATTTTCGACGGAAATATCTGTCTAAAATATCCCTTCTTTTGTAGTGTTGGTGTAACTTGAATAATCAAAATCAACTATATAATCAGTTGATTAAGTTACAGATAGTTAAATTATTTGTATTTATCTTAATACATCAGTTCTTTACTCTTTTTTTTTCTAATTTAATTATTCTGACTATAATTTCTGATAAAATCGAAATTAGTTTTCACCAAATATTTAATTGATGATAGGTATTTCATCCATATACGATTTTAGTCTGCCATCGCATTCTATAAGTGTGTGTCTATGATAAAGAAAAAAGGATATTTTCGGACAAGTTTAATTTCTTTAAAATACAACCAAGAAACCGCCAAGACGACAAGTTTAGTATTTGCACAAATAGGTCCTATTTTATTTTATTTTAGCTAAAATATATCTTCTGATTACAATAGTTTCATAAAAATAACGTTAAGACGTATAACTTTCAATCTTAACCATTAAATCATTTAACTATATAAATATTTAAACATTTCATTTTAAATATAAAAAAATCTAAAATATAATAATAATAATTGTCGAGTTCCAATAAAATACTTAATTATTAATTTTTATATAAAATTTATATTAAATCTAAATTAAATTAAATAAATTACATAAAAAACAAGAATTTTTAAATAGTTAATTTGATATTAATATTAATATATTTATTTTCGAAATTTTATGATATCTTCATATTTATATTTTATTCAAAAATAAAAATATTATCCCTTTCGAAGAATCACATGAAAACCGTATTATAACATCTACATAGACGAAAATAAAATGAAACATTAAAATCGAGATATATTTTGTTGCATTATACGAGTATCTTCTAGTAATCATACAAAATACATAATTAAGAGTTAAATTAGGTTACTATATTTTTTTAACAATTTAGGTGTTGAAAATAACTACTCGCATTTTAGAAGTTGCTTCAATCCATAGAAAACGTTCGTGTCATCATATCCTAATCGCAATAAATATTGCACTCATAGTTAAATGGTGTGATAATTTCGAACGTTTGTGGCTTTTTTCTTAACATTTTAATTCGTGAGATTTTAAGAATTACTGTATCATCATGTGTTATTTTATATGATTTTTTAAATCTATATTTAAAACCTAATATAATGATTAACATATATAGGGCTGAATGGAAAGCCTTTATCTACGGATTTTTTTTCCCTAGAAAATCCGTCGCTAAAGGGATGATTCATTACAAAAACGTCACAAAATTTTGTAGGTCAATTATTGGTGGATAACTCAAATCAGTGTCAGATTACCCAAAGCCCTAATTTATTTATTTTTTTCGAAAAATATTGGATTATATTGGAACCATTGATATTTTCTGGGTGATCCGTTGGTAACTACCGACATAAATTTCTCCTATGTGATCTTTATGAGCAAAAGTAATTTGTTTTGTAGTGACATGTATTCGGTTCATAATATGAAACTTTTCGACGTGTTTGTGAAACAAAAAATACCCGTAAAAAGTTTCACATTGTCAACTAAATTAATACATATCAAATAACACATTGTAAAACAAATATATGATAAATAATACATTAAATACTATACTTAGATGGAAAAAAAAAAGTTATGTGAATCAAAATCTTAAGATAATACTCATAGATCTCACAAAAAATTTGAAGTTTTCAAATGATTAAGCCTCGTCTGTTGTTATAAAAACTTTATTGTGAAATATGATGTACGATACACAACATTAAATAAAAAAACTTATATATTATACATTGATCTTGCTATTTTTAGGGTTTATACAAAAAAAAAATTACAACAAATACTAAAAAATATATATATAAATTAAATTATTATATTATAAAAAATTAGGTAAAAATCTTAAATTTTAGGATTTTCTTAATAAAAAGGATACTTCCTACATCTTAAAATAAATATCTATAATGAAAATTTTACATATTCTAGAAAAGTGTAATTATTACACTTTTGATTAACTAAATAATAATTTTACTCTCAGTGACAGAAGGAGTAATTAATTTCTTCATCTCATAATTAAGAATATAGTGGGAGAGTATGCACTTGTTTTTTGTAAGTTGACACTTATTTTGACATAAACTAAAATAGCAATGTAGACATTGATTTTGAGACGGAGCAAATATTAACCTTTCATTCTTAATTTACAACTAAATTGTGTATTTTACTGTATATTACATGAATACGCAATTAATAATGATAAATACGAAAGGGAGAAAAAAAGGAAAGTTCACGTTCTTGGGTGGTTTGGTGCAAGCCATATATATAGTAATTTGAGTATTGATGGCAATTCAAAACTATATATTAACATGTTAATTAAAATATAAATTTGTGTATTTAAATCTTGTTGATATTATCAAATTTTGTTATATATTATATTATTATTTTTATAAATAAAAACATTGTTCGATTCAAATATATATTATTGTAGCCTCTGGTGTATAGCTCAGTTGATAAAGGAATAAGAGCTGGTGCTGAAGTCTGAAATCTGAATTAATAAAACTATTTGTTTTTGAAAACTGATAAACGTCTGAATTGGTTTAAATTTTTTATTTTACCTATTAAAAAATTATAGTGTTGAATTTATGTATAAATTTATACAATTTCACATATTTATTCATCATTATTACAAAATTTACATCTAAATCATATAATTAGCATTTATTTAAACAAAAATGTGTCATTAACGGTATTTAACACATTTAAGTTATAGTAAAATATATCAATTTAGAGAAGTGATGATTGATTTAGTAAGAATCGATTAAGAGAAATGATTGATTAAGGGTAATCAATTGAGAAACGTCGTTGTTGAGGGTTTGAAGAATAATAAGAGGCAAATAAGATGTTGGTTTACCTCTTACCAGATAAGAGAATAATAAGACATAAGTGCCTCTGAAAAACTAGAAAAAAAAACAAATAATCTGAACGGCCTTACCTCTTAACGAATCATATATAAGAGGCCGATAAGATGTTTTTATTAAAAAAAAAAAACAAGACCTTATCTTAACAATTAGCAGGGGGTTTCAAATACAAACTCTCTAAGATGCATATTATTTAAAATTCAAAATTACAAGTAAATTGTACGTAAGTACAATTGATTAAAACTCAATTTTAAAATTCATGTAACTATTTGCGGATAAACATAATCAAATAAAAGATAAACATCTCATTTTAAAATATAAAAAATTTAAAATATAATTAGTATAACTATTGAGTTCTAACAAAATA